CGGATTAGTCGCTATATGCAAAGCTGATTTGTTGTCACAATACAACTTAGCTGGTCCTGTGATCTTGACATGAAGATCAGAAAGAAGTTGCTGCAACCAAATCAACTCGCAAGTAACCATAGCAAGGCTTCTATATTCTGCTTCAGTACTACTCCGACTCACCACTCCCTGCTTCTTAGACTTCCAACATATCAAAGAAGACCCTAGGTAAACACAGAACCCTGTAATGGAACGACGAGTTTCCTTACAAGTAGCCCAATCTGCATCTGCAAACGCATTCAAACACAACTCTGCAGAGGCTGAATACATCACTCCTTGACCAGGATTATTTTTGAGATACCGAAGCACCTTGTGAGCAGCTTGTAAATGTATATCAGTTGGAGCTGATAAAAACTGACTCAATTGATGAACAGCAAAGGTAATATCCGGTCTCGTGATAGTAAGATACAACAACCTGCCAATGAGTTCTCTGTAAACCGTAGGAGTAGGCAAGAGAGAACCCATACCCGTAGTAAGATGGAGAGAAGGATCCATTGGTACTGAACTTGGTTTACAACCAAGAAGGCCTGAGTCTTCCAACAAATTCAAGGTATATTTCCTCTGACAAACAGAAATCCCAGACGAAGACCGAGCAATCTCCAGACCAAGAAAGAATCTAGCAGGACCAAGATCCTTGATTTTGAATTCAGAATGCAATAACTCTTTGATCTCTGCAACAGCTACCTCATTATCACTTGCAATCAAGATATCATCCACATATACTAATATTGCCACAAAGGAAGCATTAGTCTTCTTCACAAACAGAGTGTTGTCAGCAGGAGACTGTATGTAATTAGCTCCCAAAAGAACTGAAGACAACCGTTTATACCACTGGCGAGAAGCTTGTTTAAGACCATATATTGACTTCCTTAATCTGCAAACTGGATTGGGTGGCAAGGCAACACCAGCAGGAGGTGTATAACCTTGAGGAAGACGCATGTAAATCTCCTCATCAAGATCTCCATGGAGAAAAGCGTTAGATACATCCATCTGAGTAAGACTCCATCCTTTGATAGCTGCTAAACTAAGCAATAACTTCACACTGGTGAGTTTAGCAACAGGTGAAAATGTCTCAAGATAATCCACTCCTTCTTGCTGAGTAAAACCCTGAGCAACTAAACGTCCCTTGTACCGCTCAACAGTCCCATCTGCATTAAACTTGATGGTGAAAATCCATTTACAACCCACAACATTTTTCCCTTCAGGCAGAGCAACAATTTCCCATGTACCATTCTGTTCCATAGCCACAAGTTCCAAATTCACAGCCTGTTTCCATTTATCAGATTTCATGGCTTGAGAAAATGTTTTAGGTTCAGTTTCGGATGAATAAGCTAGGACAGAAGCCTGGAATATGGGATTAAGTTGATCATAAGAGACCACAGAAGAAATGGGATAAGGGGTTTTTGATGTTGCAGATAAAGGATGAGATATAGTAGAAGAAGGAGGAATTAAAAAACAAAGATGTTTTTGAGAAGAAACAGATGAAGAAGGCAAACCAAGAGAAGAGCCTGTGATAGAAGGAATAAGAGAACAATGATACTGAGACAAATAAGCAGGAGTTCTAGTTGTCCGTTTAGGTCTAGAAACATGAGATTGGTCAGTCACAGTATCCTCAGTAACTTCCTCTACAGGTTCTATGTTATGACTAGTATGAGATGATGAAATAGAATCAGAAGCCAAAGAAGACTCACCATCAAAATGCAAAGGCATAGTTTCAACAAAGTGTAATGGAACCGGCATAGGTAAAATAGTATTTGGAAACATGTCAACAGATTTTGAAAGCAAATCACTTGTTTTAAAAGGAAACACTTTCTCTTTGAAAACAACATTGCGTGTAACTGTCACAGAATGGGATTCTAAATCCAAAACTTTGTAACCTTTAAAACCAGATGGATAACCAAGAAAAACACAAGGAAAAGACCGAGGACTGAATTTATTTCTATCTTTATTATGAGTGGAAGCAAAACATAAGCAACCAAATGAACGAAGCAATGTGTAATCAGGAAGCTTACCAATCAACTTTTCAAGCGGAGTTTTATTATCTAACAAAGGTGAAGGCATCCTATTGATCAGAAACACTGCAGTCATAATGCAATCACTCCAATAAGGCAAAGGGACATTAGACTGAAACAACAAAGCACGAGAAACATTTAATAGATGTTGATGTTTGCGTTCCACAACAGAGTTTTGTTGTGGAGTATAAGCACAAGAAAAGTAATGAAACATACCATGTTGTTTAATGATATCAGTAAAAGCCAACTCTGGAGCATTATCAGTACGTATAGCTTTAACTTTGGCATTATATTGTGTCAAAACATGTTTCAGAAACAATGGAAAGATAACAGAAACTTCACTTTTATTTCTTAACATGTAAATCCAAGTGACCCTAGTACAATCATCTACTATGGTAAGAAAATAACGGTATCCTTCAACAGACTCAACACTAAAAGGACCCCAAATATCCAAATGAATCAAATCAAAAGCTTTAGGAGCCAAATTATTATGAGACACATATGCTAGACGTCTTTGTTTTGCTAAAGGACAGACATGACACGGAGAATCTTCAGAATCAACATTCTTGTATGATGGAAGTGATGATGAAATCTTTTGAAAAACACTTGAAGATGGATGACCCAAACGATGATGCCAAACAGAACTATCAGTTGATACAGATCCACAGAAAACAGGTGTAGCAGTAGTAGTAGAAACAGGAGCATCAAGAATGTAAAGATTGTTGAAAAGGCTACCCTTCCCAATCATCGAGCCCCGAGAAAGTTCCTGAATCAAGCATCCAGTAGGAAAGAAATGAGCAGCACATTGCAAAGAACGAATTAAACTACTTACACTAATCAAGTTGAACTGAAAATCAGGAACAAGTAACACATCATACAAAACCAAAGACTCAGTGATTTTTATAATGCCTGTATGAGTTATAGGAACAAAACTACCATTAGGAAGAGTTACTGTGACTGAGGATACTGGTACATAACTATCAAACATTCCTAAATCGGAACAAACGTGACTAGAAGCCCCACTATCAATAATCCAAGCATCATTGGGAAGTAAATTTTGAAGGCTAGAGAGACAATGATGTTGATAATGAAGAGAATGATTTTCAAATGTGAGATTGATAGAGGGAAAAGGAATGATACCAGAAGTAGAATTTGGTTCCATAATACCATGTTCAGTGATTGTAGCACGGGAATGAGAAGCAAATGAAGGAGAAACTTGTGGCTCTGAAACTCGGACATGAGCATTAAATTGAGTAATCAAGCTCTGTATCTGCTGAGGAGTAAAACTTTGCAGGTTCAAATTCATTCCACCACTAGTCAAATGCGGAGAAACAGGTGACAATGTAGAGAGTTGACGAGAGTCTTGATCAACAGAAACAGCCGCAACCGCATTATTCACCAAAGGTGTGGAAACCTGTTGTTCCTGAGGTTTAGATTGAGCTTGTGAATGTCGATGTTGAGACTGATTCTTGTTATACGAAGACTGAGAACCATATGACTTATAACCAGGAGGAAAACCATGTAGTTTGAAGCACTTTTGAACGGTATGACCAGCTTTGCCACAATGAGTACACACAGGTCTTTGATAAGCCCTCCCTGCATTATAAGCAGCAACAATCGCAGAATCTTGATTCACTACAGGATTAACAACCGACTGAAATGCAACATTATCAACCGCAGTAGCCGGACGTAGTGAACGCTGTCTCTCATCTTGAGTCACAATGTTAAACGCCTCTTCAATCTTAGGTATAGGCTTCAACATCAATATGTGACGTCTTGTATGCTCATACGACTCATTCAACCCCATCAAAAACTTAGTAACTCGACTTCTATGCTGCAGATTCTCCCACAAAGAAGCAGCATCACACTCGCATTTACCACAAGTACATACAGGAATCTCCACAAAGTTACGATGTTCTTCCCACAGAGTAACAAGTTCTGTATAGTAAGTAGACACATCCATAGATCCTTGCTCTATTTTGCTTAACCTCTGCTCAATATCATAGACCCTAGGTGCATCATCTTGCTTAAACCTAGTGACTAGATTATTCCAAATTCCTTCAGCCGTAGAGATAAACAACAAACTCTGACCTATTTTCTTGGAAACAGAATTCATCAACCAAGTCGCTACAATATCATTGCAACGAGACCAAGCTCCATAATCNATCCTTGCTCTATTTTGCTTAACCTCTGCTCAATATCATAGACCCTAGGTGCATCATCTTGCTTAAACCTAGTGACTAGATTATTCCAAATTCCTTCAGCCGTAGAGATAAACAACAAACTCTGACCTATTTTCTTGGAAACAGAATTCATCAACCAAGTCGCTACAATATCATTGCAACGAGACCAAGCTCCATAATCACGATGAGTAAGGGAAGGTTTAGTGATAGTACCATCAATGAAACCGAGTTTGTTTCGTACATTCAACGCCATCCTAACAGATCGTCTCCAAGAATGAAAGTCAGAAGCTGTTGTTAGCCGATCTGTAACAAGAACTAAACCAGCATGATCATTATGGTGAAGATAGTAGGGATTCTCATAAAGATCAGACGCCGAACGATGAGAATCAGAGGAAGCTCGAATCGGAGAAGAGGAAGTCGCCATGGATGAATCAGAAAGCTCGATTCAAATCGAATCGAAAGAAAACGATGAAATCAATCGATCAAGAAGAAACGAAATCAACAATCCCAATCACAAACAAGCAGCAAAGCAGTATCCCGATGCAGATCTCGCTAATCGCACGAACACATTCAAGAAAAAAAAATCGCGAAAAAGAGAGCAACGGAATACTCATGAGAACGAGAAAGAAAAAGCTCAAAGATCAATGCGGAAGATGATTAGCTCTGATACCATATCAAGATTCGAATCAAGCTAGAGAAGATGAAGATAGATCTTGAGCTAGAAGAGAGAGATGATGTAAAAGGAAAGAAAAGTTTGTTATTCTCGTTACACTGTACATTGTATCCTGATACATATATATAGTACCGGTTAAGCTAAAGGAGACTTAAACCGATAATAAACCAAACTTAAACCAACCGATATTCTATACTAATAGGAACAATCGAAAACTTAAAGAGCATAGTATGCTTATATTTGTCCCCCGGTTGAACTATCTGCGAAGGAAGATACTGATTATTAATTGCATTGGAGAAACTTTGTGTTTCTAGACATAAACCGGAGTAAGCTTGGTAAACCGATCCATTTTTTCCTTTCATGGTCTTTAAGTTTCCTCCAGTGTAGAACTTTAGACCAGACTGGTCTGTAGATAACTCCATTTTCCTCTTCGATTTTTTGTCCACCAGCACCACGACTTTTCTCATCTGATTAGCAACACCGTCTAGACAATAATTTATACCGTGCCTGCATTAAAGGGAAAAAAAAACACATTTTATATAATATTTAAAGTAGTGTATATATGGGTTCAGTATATATTTTTTATTTGCAAGTTTTACCCTAGTTTAATCTCATTAATGTTATCTTTAATAGGACGGAGTTTGAGAAAATCGTATGATGTTCCTTTAACGGAGAGGATTTTTCCGGTGGGAATGAGATTATCGTCGACGTGAGCATAACCGGAACCGAGAATTTGAATTTCTTCAGACAATATATCACCGTTGCTATGACCACCAAGATTCCAATAAGAATGATGAACTAAATTAACAGGAGTTGCTTTCTCTCTAGCCTTTGCTTCCATCACCAATTTTAGTTGGTTTTCTCCTACCAGCTTATACGTCGCTGTGACGTCAAGTTTCCCAGGGTATCCTACGATATTAAAAGTACTTTTTGGATATTAAAATTAATGCATTAAGACTAAATAAAATGGAAAAACAGACCTTTAAAGCCATCAGGACTTGTGTAGGTGAAAACAATATAAGGTTTCTTGCCATAATAGATGTGTTTCGCAACTCTCCAAATCGCATCACTGAACCCTTTATTTCCACCTAATTGATTCACATAAACATAATTCACGATTTATGAAATCCACTTAAACAGAACGTAGCTACATATACTAAAATATTAACAAATTAATTAATTTAACATCGGTTAATTAGGTATTTACCATGATTTGTGTTTTTGGCATCGTTGGCACCAGTCTTTTCTCTTCTATTAGCTACACGTCCCACAGTCGCTCCAAAAAATAGGGTATCATTCTGATTACAAGTTAATCAAATATGTTTTATGATGTTTTACCAAAGTGAATCTTTTATAGGAAGCAAATTATCTGAAATATCATGTAATCAAATATCATATCAAGATGTTTCAGATTTTGGTTGTTTTTATTTATTCGAATAAATTTAAGTAAGCACGATCGAATCTCTATAATATTATTTGAGAAGTCAGTTTCCTATGTGTCGTTCTCACGTTCACTCTCACGATGGTTGATTACACTGATACCCTTAATGAATTAAAAATGTTAAAAATAGTATTATTAATTCTTTTATTTAGTTTCCTTTTCAAAAATTTCCAAAAATATATGTAATAAAAAGGGAATTTTTTATAGTCAGAAAAACAAATTAAAAACGAAAAATATATGTATATATAATATGATTTCATAAAAAAGGAAAGTTCACAAAATAGTAATAATGCATTTAAAATATTTTTAAATAACATAAAATATATTAAAAACGAAAATATATGTATATATAATATGATTTCATAAAAAGAGGAAAGTTCACAAAATAGTAATAATACATTTAAAATATTTTTAAATAACATAAAATATACTTGTAGAGTAGTAAAAATAGTTTATAATTAGTATTATTGAAATTTTTTTAATTTATTTTTCATATATTTAGTTAACTATAATATCTTCTAATTACAGAAAATTATCTATAAGTTATATTTTACTTATATAATATTATTTTCAAATACAATAACAATTTTGTGTAGTGCTTATTTTTAAGAGATATTAAAAACTAAACATAAATTTAACAATAAATATTGCTTGATCAAATAAGTAACAATAAATTATTTGTTTTCCTAATATTAAATTTTCTTTTAAATTTTATGTTTTTATGTTATTGAAACTAAATATAACCATAATCAAAATACCAAAACAAATCTGAATTCCCAATTTTAAGATTATTTAAAATAAATTTCAGTTTACATTCAACAAATCTAAAACATAAATTTATTTAGGATTTATAGATATTTTAATTATTGTAAATGTTGAAATGTGTTCATGAGCTTCCAAAAATGTATTTAACTACTTATACATGAAACTTTCTATTGATCATAGGATAACTAAAAACATATTAACAAATAAAAATAAATATTAACCAACTCTTACAATTTTAGTTCTCTTGTAAAATTTATATATATGAATGATATTTTAGAATATTATCGTTATATTAATTTACGTATTTTGGAATCAGACACTTTATTTAATTTTAATTCATTCTAAGCACAATATATTCTAAGTTATACATAATTTTCCTAAAATATATTTACATATCTAAGACAACATCACTATATGCAAATAAGTAATTAATTAAAAATTAATATATTTTTAAAATATTACAGTTAAATTCAGAGATGCAACCTAATTTATCCAAATGATAACTAAATTAACTGTAAAGACAACAAAATCGACTAGATATAACATATATAAAATTATATTATAATTAAAGTAATATAATATTATTAATATAAATGATGCATACAAATTATAAATTAACTTAAAATTAAAAGTAAATAGTAATCAATTATTATCATATATTTACTTTAAAAATATTTATATCCGTGCATGAACACGGGAAAATCACCTAGTAATTCTTTATTTAGTTATCATGCATCAGTCACTATCTCAAGACAATTCTAGACATGTTTTTAAATAGTCATCTGTTTAAAAATAAAAGATCAGAAGCAAATTCTTCGATTTCAGATTAGAAAAACTTCTTCAGCTAAGAAACATACCGACTGACAAATCTAAAATTTATTTTGTATCGGAGGAAAAACTATAAAACACAACTAAATATCTTAATAAATTAAATTTTTAACAAGGACATTATTAAAAACCTTGACAAAATTACATTAATTTTGTAAAAGATATGGTGGACAAATGCCTCCTAGTACGGGTCTGATGGGTATCCTAGTTTTTTCAAGATATTCGACCGTGCTCACCCTTTTACCTACCATGTACTCATTGAGGCTATCATACCCAAGAACGAGGTCATCCATCTTTCCTGGAAATGAATGTCACTATAGTAAGTAATATGTACAATAACACTAATATACTATACGCATAAAACAAGATGTATATACTATGTGATTTTTCCACTAACCACTTTTATCGGGGAAAAGTAGAGATATGATAGAAGCACCGCGATTAGTAAATTTAACAGTCAGGCTCCCCTTCTTTAGCTCGTATACCCCCAGTGTCTCCTTTCGATCATCTTCGTTATCACCGTTATCACCATCATCATCATCACCATCATCATTATCATTGTCATCATCACCTTCATTATCATGGTCATGGTCATCCTTATCGTTATCATCATCACCATCATTATCATTGTCATGATCATTATTTTGATCACCGTCATCTTCATGATCATGATCGTGGTCATTATCATGGTCACCGTCATCATTTACCTTAGTAATCGACTGATCTGTTTCTTGTCCTTTGACTTTCTTCGAATCAGTCGATTTCACTTCATTGTTTTCGGCAAATGATACGCTAACCATGATAACAACCAACAAAACAAAACACAATAAAACTGAAACCCTAACCATTTTTAGTTCTTTTATGTAAGTGTGAGTGACTATAATCTTCTGGTGGGTATTTATAGGCGCTTTGTTTTATTTAATTTACGGAATTATTTAGTTTATACCCTTTTAACTGAAAATGCTATTTAAATAAACGGTATCTTTTCATATTTAATAACAAAAAAAAAAAATCTAAACTATCTATCTAGTGACATTGTTTGGTAAGATATATATGGTGATCTAGTTATCTGAGAAAATAAGCCAATTTACTTATTTTATTCAGTTGTCTGAAAAAACATTGAAACTCTGAGAGAAAAAAACCAAAGTCGCATTTGAGTATGGCAAAACTGTTTCAGGACGGGTTGGAATGGGGGAACATATTATTACAGAATAAAATGATCACTTTCCTAATATTTTTTTTGGAATTTCCTTGTACAAAATCGATAATTGAAGAAAAAAAATAATGCGATAACAGCAATATGTTTTGGTGCATTTTGTCTTTAGTTGTAATGCTGTATGCATCATCACAACACTAATTGTCATACTTTTTCTTTGTTGTGCCTATTGTCATTAACGCACTTTTTTTGATAAGTAATTAATTTGAGCCTAGCACTAAGGTTTTTAATTTGTCTTTATTACCGGATAAATAAAATATAAGATCTTCGACGATTTAAGGTGGATCCTTGATCAAGATTCATGTTATTTAAGAATATGAAACTGCGCTGCATGTCACTGAACACTATACTTTTTGTGAAAATTATGATAGGGATTATATGGTGTCAGAAACATAGTTTTGTATCGTTAAAACTAAGATTTGTTCTGTTAAATAATGGCCTTATCTGTTTGGTCATTGGTTTCATGCTAGTCCCCAAAATAAAATAGTGAAAAATATGAGGAGCAACACCAAATAAACATACAAAACAACAACAAATAGAGTACAGAAAAAATATAGAATTACAACGTATCCTTACAGAAAGAACCTCATAAAGTTGACTTAGTTTCATTGTTACCACATTATTATTATTTTTTTGGTTCATGGCCTAGATACAAGAGAGAAAAGTAAAGTGATTTATATTATTAGCATGGTCTTCCGACCCGGCAATCCAATGCTCCGGCGTATTTGGTAAGCTTTGAAACGGCCAAACCGTGTTTGGGCCTTATCATCTGCTGTCTAGAGTGTGAATACATGAACCTTGGGTTTCCAGATTGTCTGAAATATGCATTGTTCATGAAAACGTCTTTCTCTGATCTCCAATTCCAGTTTCTCCACTCAGATTCTGGAGCATAATCCCTCTTCGTCACCTATACACACATCTTTCCGTTAGCTCAAAAGCTATACCTCAAACTTTCACTTCGTGCAAAATACATCCCTAATCAAAATCACATCAAGCCTTTTGGGTTTATTATATATATGTTTGTACCTCTCTGTAATGTTGTATGTGAGGAGGAGCGATGAAACGGTTTCCGTGGCTGAGGATGGTAGGACTTTGGCTACCACCGATAGCATATAGCTCCCAGTGAGTGTAGTCATTGTTAACAACATGGACGAAACCCCACCGAATCCTCGGCATCCTCTGCACAAGTCCTTTACCAAAGTGGTTGAAAGCCACAGTGACTTGCATCTTCTTGTCCTCGTGGTTGTCATTTTGTGCACCAAGCAACATCACCTAAACACCAAAACCCCCAACAAAAACATTTTCATTAATTCCTTTTAAGATGTCTTCAAATGTCCCCATGTATAAGGATCAAACCAATTAGGCACAATCTACGAGAATGGTTTGGATACTCACATCATTGTGGTGGGTGAAATGAGAGTTAGAGATAGTGATCCCGGTGGAGCCCATTATAGCGTCGATGAGACCATCTTGGCATTTAGACATAGAAATGTGGTCAAGCCAAATGTTTGTTGCTCCAAAGATAGAGATACCATCTCCATCGGCCGCTCCTCTAAACCCAAAGTGGTCATTAGAGTTTCTTATCATACCACCACTACCAGGGACGATGTGATGGACGTGAAGCCCATGGATGATGATATTATGCACGTACTGCATCGTGATCCCAGCACCATATGCGATGTGGATGTTAGTGCCACGAGCATCGATCGTCTTGTGACTATTAATCATTAGCTCTTGGCACAGCCTAATGCTCATATCGTGCTTGAAAATGATCCAAAGCGGTTCGTTCTGAATCACAGCGTGACGCAGTGTTCCGGGTCTAGGGTTCACCGTGTCATCATCTCTGTTGCTTGTGACCACGTAGAGACGACCACGTTTGCCTCCTGTGGTCTTGTAACCGAAACCACGAACACACTTGACGAGGTTCTTGCGACGCCTAGCCCAATGAGGATTGCAACGCCAGCATTTATCGATAGGGTTGCTTGCAGTGCAAGGTCCCTTTAGCTTGCTCCATTTTCCTTTTCCTCTTCTTTTACGTCTACCTCTTAGGCTCCGTCTTGTGCTGTTCGTCGCACTAGAAATCATCTCAATGTCGTCCTCTTCCTCGGAAGCGTGTTCCTCTATCTCCTCAACATCAGTAGAGTTGCTGAAGAATCATACATATGCACAAAATCCAAACCCATCATAAATCCAAATTAAATCATTGTTAAAAAAAAATACTAAAACAAATCATGATCGTAAATTCATGTCACGTTTTTCTTATATAATATTTTAGCCCCTTGCTAAAACTTCTAGAGATAGGTTTTTTGTACGTTAGTAAGCTGAATAAAATCAAATGACTAAACTAAAAATAAATCAAATTTCTATCCCAATCACAAGTAAAAGCTATAAATTACAATAGGATTGAAAAGAAATACAGATTAAAAAAAGGTTAACGGACTTACTCGTAGTGACGCTCGTGGAAGTGGTCAACAACCTGATAAGGATCGGGATGATAAGCCATAAGGGTACGCTTACGAGCTTCAGTGGCCATTGTGACCCAATACTCATCGGTGTCCGTAACATTAGTGGCCCTTAAGGTCGGAATCAAACTGGCAATACAAATAACACACACTAATAGGAAAAGCCTAGCCGTCTCCATTATTTTTATTTGATTACCCCTTTTTGTTATCGAAAACAATTTGTATGAATTATTTTCTTTTGTTAAAGGGGTAATCTTTTTTTTTTTTTTTGAATATATGTGGAGAACTGCTAAGCTTTAAACATGGTTTTAGGTGGTTTTTTTCTGTTTGGCAGATAAATCGTATTGCAAAGTTGAACAAACGTGATGGTTGGTTTAAATAACAAAAAATTGACGAAGAAAGTTAAGTTCTATATTTAGAAAGTTTTCCCGTTATGTATGGAAAACCAGCATAATTCACGTGTGGACAGGTTTCTTTGCTTCTATAACGTTTTAATTCCCTTGTTTCCCCTCCCCTATATTTGGATGTTCCTGTAAAAAGAGAAGCTTTACTGTTTCCCCTTATGTTCAACCAATTTTGGCAACAATGACAATACTTGTTGCTTCTCATGTATATGCATCTAAAAGTAGTAAAAATGTCGGACTGTTTTTTTTTTTGACAAAAAAATATCGGACTGCTTGTTACATCTAATTTATCAATCTGTATATCAACCATATACTAAAGGCTAAGCTATTTTTAAAAATATATAAACTTAGACTTGACTTTCGACTTACTACTCGTATATTTATGGTCCCTGATTAAATTTATGCTTTGGTTAATGGTTCCTGATTAAGTTATCAATAACATTTTCTTTAATTAGGATTATATATAGTCGCCAACTATATTTATAGTCACGGCCGGATTTGGACATAGGCGGACGAAACATTTGTCCAGGCCCCCAAAAATTTTAAATTTTTTTAACCTATGAATAAGTCCCTAAACATTGACCTTGGCCCCCAAAACTTTTAGAGTTATTAAGAAATGTTTCAAGTCCCCAAAATCTCAGCTCCGGCCCTGTTTATAGTGAATCATGAATTTGACTATTAAACAAAGCGTTGAGACAACTAATCGGGAGACAATTATTCATCTTTAAACAAACCACATGGGTTTCAGACTAATTGGTTAGTTGAAAACTCGACTGATTAGTCAATAAACCGAAAAATTAAAGTATAAACCGATTGATTACTACTACACGACGCCGCTTGAGTGCCACATAAGAGGAAGATCGATTTTCTGGATCCAACGGCTGATAAAATTTTGCTTGGTGAGCAGGAAAAAATAAAATAAATTAAAATTAAAAATTAGGGCTTTCTTCAACCTCTTCTTCCTTATAGACGCCAGCCACAACTATCGTCCTGTTATTGCTTGCTATTCTCTCTCGAACGATCTTTGTTCTTCGTAGTAAGCAAAGCAAAAATGGTGAAAGGTCCAGGTCTCTACACTGACATCGGCAAAAAAGCCAGAGGTATACAATCTCTCATTATTTTCATTTATTTCCGATGAATCTGTTTATACGAAATCCGGTAGTTACAAATTAGGGTTTCGCTTAGGTTTCCTGATCTGGATTGTTGATTAAGAAGCTATTGTAATCGTTTTAGATTTTCCGATTGGGTCAAAAATCGATTTATTTGGATGCTTACTCGATTGGGAAATTTATCGTTTATCACCACTATCTAAGTCTCCTGTACGGTTTAAAATGTTTGCAGATCTTCTGTACAAGGATCACAACAGTGACCAGAAATTGAGTATCACCACTCAGTCTCCAGCCGGTGTTGTAAGTTGTCTTTCGCTAATACATTTTCATTTTCAAAGTATCATTCTCATTTGATGATAGTGTAATGAAGGTCTTATCATTCTTAGTAATGATTAGCTTTTGACTTTAATTCTAAGTTGTTGGATTATTTTTTAAGTGTTACCTCTGTTATCTATCTTCATAAGCTGATAGCTCTTTCTTTTTTTGTTAGGCCATCACTTCAAGTGGAACTAAGAAAGGTGACCTACTCTTGGGAGATGTGGCTTTTCAGTTGAAGCAGAAAAACATCACTACTGATTTGAGAGTTTGCACTGACAATACCGTAAGCTTTTCCCTACTTTGATACATTAATCTTTTAGCTTCATGGTATCAGATTATCTAATCTTTTCACCCAACATTTATGTGTGTATTGAAGAATACTGTGTTTCATGATAGTCTTTTTGTGTGTTTCTATCTCACATCTATGTTTGTGTATTGGGTTCAGGTTTTGATCACTGCTACGGTTGATGAGGCTGCGCCTGGACTCAAGTCAATCTTCAGCTTCAGGGCCCCTGACCAAAATTCCGGAAAGGTATTATCAACTATCCATGCATCTAATATTGGTTATAAGTTTTGATAACCTGGCTTTTCTAACTTTGTATTCTTTTAAAATTTTCTTTCCTTTTCCAAACAGATTGAGCTTCAGTACTTGCATGACTATGCCGGTATCAGCACGAGCATGGGATTGACTCAGAACCCGACTGTCAACTTCTCTGGTGTCATTGGAACCAATGTGTTGGCTGCCGGCACAGACGTTTCCTTCGACACCAAATCCGGCAATTTCACCAAGATCAATGCTGGGTTAAACTTCACTAAGGATGATTTAATTGCATCCCTTACCGTGTAAGTCATTTTGTGTGGGAAACTTGTGGATGATTAGATGTGTTTTTTTCATCAAATATCTGAGTATTCATGTTTGATAGGAACGACAAAGGAGATTCTATCAACGCGTCATACTACCACATTGTTAACCCGCTGTTCAACACTTATGTTGGAGCAGAAGTGAGCCACAAGTTCTCTAGCAAGGCCAACACCATAACCGTGGGAGCGCAGCATTCACTTGACCCCTTGACCATGGTGAAGACACGGGTGAACAGTGCGGGGATAGCTAATGCACTCATTCAACACCAGTGGACACCCAGGTCCTTCTTCACAATCTCTGGAGAAGTTGACACGAAGGCTATTGACAAGAATGCTAAGGTTGGATTGGCTCTTTCTCTCAAGCCCTGAAAATGAACTAAGCAAAGAATAGTTTTTTCCGACTTGGTTCTATTTGGTGGCTACTGCTAAAAACTTTCCCCATTTTCTTGTCGGCTTTGTAGAGAATAAAAAAGGTTGAAAAGATCGTCTGTCTTGTTGACATGATGAAACACTAAAATCCTTTGAGTTCTGTTTCTATTGTTTGCTATGCACTTTGTTCTTTTCACTCGATATTTTGTTTTCGCGACTTTCCTGAGATTAAGCATTGCTTTTTTTGTGTCGGATTTTTCTCTCAACACGACATTTGGTATCGTAAGTGTCTCAATTTATTATGTGAAGTTGGTAAGAACTTATTATCTGAAAAGAGTAGGCAAGACAAGAGCATCAGAATAAGATTGGATAAGTAAGTGGGCCAACAGAAAACTATGTACATGTAGCTGGGCCATACAATAACACACGTATATTATTTCGATTGACAACCAAATACTGTGAGAGATTTTTCTTTTCTCATCGAAACAAAATCACATCTTTTAACTTTTATACAAACTTAATTGGCAATATAATTACAAAATCACAAAGACAGACCAAGACCCAAAAAACAGACAGACCAAGACCCAAAAAACGCAAAAGACAATTATTGAATCTGGAAAAAAAAATATAAAATCACAATCACAATAAAAATATATACTATATTATTGGAGACGACTTTTAGAGAGTTGACTCTTAACTGATTAAGCATTGGTCTGGTGGGCCTGGAGTAACCCATTACGAATCTGTGTTGCCACGTCAGCGACGGCGCCAGGACCGTGAGGGATAAACACGGACGAAGATTTGGAGTGAGCTCCGATGTCTCTCATCGTGTCAAAGTACTGAGTCATCATCACCATGTCCAACACATCCTTTGCTGACGTCCCAGGCACGTTTCCAGCGAACCCTAGTACACTGTCTCTCAGACCGTCCACGATAGCTTGTCTCTGACGAGCGATACCTAGTCCAGATAGGTACTTGGACTCAGCTTCACCTTCAGCTCTCTTTATCTGAATGATTTTCTCCGCCTCTGCTTTCTCGTTCGCCGCCACTCTCATCCTCGCCGCTGTAAACCATTTTTTTTTTAAAAAACATTAACCTAACTTTCATTATGTGGTTTCTAAAGTTTGGGAGATTATGATGACTTACCAGCGTTGATTTCGTTCATGGCGCGTTTAACCTGTTGATCAGGCTCGATATCGATGATAAGGGTTTGAAGGATCTCATAACCGTAAGCAGTCATGGCTTTGTCAAGCTCTTCTTCCACGGATTTGGCGATTTCATTCTTCTGCTCGAACACATCGTCCAAGTTCAGCTTTGGTACACATGCTCTGATCACTGAAAGAAACAGAACCAGAGTCAGATATGTTATCCTTGAGAAAAGAATCTTTGAATTACTTGGAAATGAAGAAGAAGATGTAGTTACCATCAAAGACATAGGCTTTGATTTGGGAAGTTGGGTTGCTAAGTCTGTAGAAAGCATCACTTGCCTTGTCAACTAAAACTCTGTATTGTATGGATGCAACCACTGTCACAAACACATTGTCCTGTACAAAATGATATGTTAGAAGGAAATATGTGTATATGTATATACATATATGCAATGTTCAAGAAATAGGTAGACGTTAATTAGGCGATTTATTGATTATGCGGGTGCCTAAATTCATTTTTTGAGCTTCTAGACCGGAAATTAGAATATTGCATATATGTAGTCAATGTTGCTTACCTTTGTCTTGGTTTCACACTGGACATCGAGTTGCTGGAGACGGAGGGTGAGGTGACCGGCAACATAATCCCCTATGATCCAGGGCACAAACTGGAGACCTGGATCAAGAACTTTTTGAAACTTGCCAAATCTCTCCTTGATTGCCACATCTGATTGCTTCACCAGCACGCAGCCCAAAAGGTTCCCCATTACTTAGTCTTGTAAGGATAAGAACAAGAATGAGTTAGAATATGTGTTCTCTTTTCCACCCTATATTTCTCTGTAAACGTTTGTATAAGAAAGGAAAGTCGCATGAGGGTTGTTATATAGATAAGAGGAATAAGATGATGATCGTGACAAAATGTCACGTGACTGACTATTCCTCGAAAATATTCGTATTTATTTATTCGATGGTGACATTTTATTTTTTTTTTGGTGCAAGACATTTCTTTTTGAAAAGTCAATGTATATCTTGGTTTGGACATATATGCTTCTTCTATTCTTTTTGACAAAACTTCAGATAAACGCGTTAACCACCAGATACACTTGTGTGAGTTACATAATAGTTTATCTTATGATAATGAATAAATACAAAATACTTATAGAAAAAACGCGAGGTATACTCTATGAGTTTATGAAAGTTTCTTGGTCGTTAAGACTTAGGATCGAATATATACTTGGATAGGCTTTGTCAGACGACAATAACAAATAACATATGGAAATTCAAAGTTGGAAGGAAAAACGTGTTCTGGGCTTTATTTATTGGAAAATTGCATCTTATAACGGTGATTTCTTTTTATATTTCACTAACTAATCAATTAACCTACATTGCCTATATACAGCATAACTTTTACATAATAATTCTACTTTACCTCTTCACGTAACCGAAAAAACTTGTGGACAAAAAAATAAATAAACACCCTAATAGCAATCTGTCAAAAATAAATCATGGCCCTACGAGATTTCTATGGCTCTCTGATATTCTTTCAGATGGAATAGCTGTGGAACAGTTTTTGCCATCTATTCCAGCGCCTACGTCATCTATTCCTCCAATCAGCGACGTCATCTCCTATGACACATGTTTATTGTTGCACTGAATTATTTGTTTTTGTTTTTTTCTATTCTATTTGACACCCACAAAATAGAAAAGTTATACACCACACATACAAATAAATTTTATACAAATTTTTATATTTAATTTATAATGATTATATTTTACATTTAAGAGTAGATTATCGAAATGAATGATATATATTAAATAGTTTAATATTACATAATATAGTTTATTATTACATAATATTGTCTTATGTACTTTAAGTTTTTTATTTATTTATTTTACAAATGTATTTTCAGATATTTGATATTAGGATTTAGAGTTTAGTAATTTGGGTTTAGGTTTTATTATATAAAGGTGAGAGTTGCCATTGAAATTATCATTAACTTATTCCATGTAATATAGACATTTCATAATTTCAACAATATATATTATAATATTTAGTTTATTTCTATATTATTAGTTAAGAGTTTGAATATAATTGGTGTCCTACACTATTTATGGATTTTTGGAATAGAAAATTTCATAACTTTCAATTCATTTGTTTTTGCATTCTGGACTTGCTATCTTTATTAAATAAAAAACACTTTTTAATTTAGAAGTTTTATTTTTATTTTTATCCATACATTTTACTGCATATACAAATATGTAGCAAATAAATCTATGGATGAGTAAGTTGCATACATATTATACTTACGGCCATGAACAACTTCAAAGGAAATCTTCTATATGCATATGCATTAGTCCAACATAGCCTTTGTCTTTCATCAGTTGAATCTATTCGATTCAGTCATTTTTCTTGTCAATATTCTTTCATTTCGTTACCTATGTCACACTCTTTTTACTGACATGATCTCTGTAATGTAGGGGGTGTTATTCAATTAGTGATTTAAAATCAATTTCAAATATTTACAATCTATCAGATTTTTAAATTTTAAGATTGTTAAAGTTGATGGATTCTAAAATCTCTACGATACTCTTTGGATTTTGAGTTTAAACATTTATTCATTAGAATCCATCACTGATGATTTGAAATCCACTTATATTACAAAGAATTTTAAAATCCTTAAAAGTTGAATAACACCAGATTTTAAAACCCGAAATTCAATCATAGATTGAATAACACTGAATTTTAAAATAGAATTTAGAATCATCAATTGAATAACAGTGGATTGTGTTTAGATTTAAAATCTTTTAAAATACATGATTGAATAACACCATCGTAGCAATTTGTGAAGAACAACATCTGAAGAAAAAAGAGACTTGGAGCTTATGGAGAAGCAAATATACATCTGCATAAGGTAATTTTTCTTGATAACTTTTCAGGTTAGGAAATACTCCCTCCGTTCCTAAAAGATCCATGTTCTGTAAAAATATTGTGTTTCAAAAAGATTTATATTTTATGTTTTTATGAGAAAATTACAAATTTCAAAAAAATTAATTGGTTTTATTAGAATACTATTGGCTAAAAATTGTTGAAAATTGAAAATTACTGAAAACGATACTGATTTAATGTGTTTTCTTAATATGTGTGAAAACACTAGAAAATCTATCTTTTAGGAAGAGAGAGAGAGAGAGTATGTAAGAAGCTTAGTGAAACTTGGAATGTTGATGACTTAATTAAAAAACTAGCAATGGAGGACAATTTAGGTTCTTAACTAACATCTATTATATTAAAAGAGAAGTCATGACTCATTTCATGTGTGATTTTTTTTATTTGGACCATTAGCAAAAAAATATTTCTTAAATATATTTCATTTGTTTGTAACCTCTTCAATCATAATATTTTTGACATCTTTTTATTTTAATATAAATATTTATTAATTATTTTTAAAAAATCTGTTGAAAAGAGTTTAGCAAGATCTTAACTTTAAAAACATTATATAAATATTTAACTAATTAATAACTTGAATAAAAATTTGAATTAGTAATGAAAATAATTATACATTAATATATATATATATATGAAAACAGATTTTATTCTTTTTATCTATTTAATAATCATAAACTATCAAACTAAATGAAATTATTATAATAAAGTGAATGTTATAAAATTATATTAAATTGATAAATTAATCAATTTTATTTTCATAAATAGAAAATATTAATGTTAAAAATATATAATATATTGGCAGAACGGATTAACATTAGTAACTATAAATACATGTATAAAATTAACATATCTTAAACCTTTATAATATCATATTATCTTTATAAACATAAAAAGTTTAATAAACGGTAATCTAACTTTGAAACTCAAATAATAATTTAGTATAAATTATATATAAAATAGTTTTCCAATATGATTTTTCATGCATGTATTAATATTAATAATTAAATGTATAGCCAATTAGATAAATATATAATAAGAAAAATTGATATTAACGTACAAACTATAAAACTATTGTGTTTGTAATAGTTATATAAACATATGACTAACGTTATTAATGATATAAAACAAATCCCGCGCGGTTGCGCGAGTCCAAATCTAGTTTATTAAACTTGGAATGTTGATGACTTAATTAAAAAACTGGCAATGGAGGACAAAAAGTAGATGTATCTTAACTTTAGGTTCTTAACTAACATTTATTATTAAAAAGCATTAAGAAACTCTAGGAATAATCATGCTCTTATGTACCATAGCAAAGAAAAAAATGACGTTGAAATCATGTACAATTTAAAACATGCTAAGAAAAAAGGTGAAATCGGATGGTATGTGACATAAATATATGATATTATATTATGTTAAAATCATTACTACTTATCTATTTTATGCTCCAATAGCTACTACACAAATAAGTGTTTATTTATACTCCCTCCGTTTCATATTAAGTGTCGTTGTAGAGAATTTTTTACGTTACAAAATAAGTGTCGTTTTCAGTTTTCAATGCAAAATATATTAATTTTATTATGTAACTAATTTTTCTATTGGTTAAAATATGGTTAGGTGTATAGGTAACTGTGTTTTTATATAGGAAATATGTAAAATTAATTGTTTCTTTAATCCGTGTGCACAGCTGTAGAGTGACACTTATAATGAAACAGAGAAAGTACTACTCTGCAGCTGTTATGTGTAGGGTACCAAAACTAAATTAAAGCAAGATGGGTTTGGATATAGTTTTTTTGTTTATTTATACTAATTTGCAGCTGTTATGTGTAGGGTTTCAAAACTAAATTAAAGGAAGATGGGTTTTGATATCGTTTTTTTGTTTATTTATATTACCCCGCAGCTTGTTATGGGTAGGATTTCAAAATTAAAATCAACCAAATACAGAAAAAAAAGTAAGAGAATCAAAGTAAGAATCCTTTGACTAAAAGTCGTTGGTCGTTGCGGCTCGCATGTTTACCAAAAAAATAATGGATAACTTGCATTTGTGTAGCTCGATAATAATATTCATGTAAAAAATGGGTGTCACTAGCTGTGACAGTATTTGATTTGTCAAATATTCGATTTATATATCTCAAGCGACAAGCGGATAAGTAGAAAAATCAAAAGAGGAAGAGTTCAAAAGATTTAAATTTGAAAGTTGCATCTAAATTTTCTAATACCATTGTCGATATTTTATACAGTATTATATGGTTTTCCTTGCTGGTGAAGCGACTGTGAAATGTGAAAACAGCTTTCACAGGCCAATGACAATACCTCTATTAGATAAAAAAAAAAAGATAAACACTAAAATGAAGAAAAAAGTATATAATGTAGGTAATTATGTTTTAATTTTGAAACTATATAAAATTAAATATTTTTTGTGTACAAAAAGTTTAAATGAAAATTAAAGTGAAACGGAGGAAATATTTGGGAATAATACCTTATTAGGCTTTTAGTGGACCATAAATGACAATGTTCAGGATTTTTTGGGTAGTTACAAAGAAACCCTGAAACATACACTACGTACCTGTTAAATTCCCACAAAAACAACATACAAATAGATATCCAAAACTTTACCAACTCGTTCTTTGGTTGATCTCGACATGCCCTTCAGCTTTTTCCATTAGAAGAAGAGTTTTTGTAGTTGTGGAAGAGTTTAACTAGACGCTCGAGCACTGCAGCGCTTTTGGAAAAGTAACCGGAGAAACCAACCGGAGCCGAAGCGGGAGGGAAGTCTTCAGGGGGCATAGCAAATGGACGAACCATCTTCTCCATAGTCTCCAGTGTTAAACAAGAACCAACCTCTTGAAGCCTCTCTGGTCCCATTATTGGAAGCGTGTGTTCCCTTAGCAATGACTCTGCCTCCTCGTCATTGTTCTGTTTTTTTTTTGTCACACCATAAAATTAATTATTTGGACGTTAAACAAAAAAGCAATAGTGTCTCTTTTTCTTTACCTCTAAGGGAGACAAATCAGCTCCACGGCTGAATGTAAGTTCAATGCGGAATCTCTTGGGGTCTTCGAGTGATACCTGCAACCAGACAATATATTATTAGATATGTTGAAGGCTATGATCGATGTAAGAGAGTGGAAGGGTGTGTAGACCTCGGTGTTTTCAAAGAGTCTTAGGACAATGTAGCTCATGTAATCAAGTTCCTTTGTTTTGAAAAGACGTTCCAATGCGTTTTGGGAGATGAGACTATCTTCTCCTTGAAGTGATTCGTCGAGGTTACAGTATCTAAGTACGTTCATCAGCGAATGAATATGCGATTCCTGTTCCATCAAGCAGTTTCACTCTCATAGTGAATGCCAATCACACACACTTACAAGAAAAATGGAGAAAGAATGAAACTTACCGATGTGAAGTAGAGTCTAGTCCTCACATGACGTTCAGGTTTCTTGACATTTGCATACCTATGAAAACCAATTAGTATTATTATACAACACATAAGTAATATGCAGAAACTAAGAGAAGGAGAAGCAGATAATAAGCTATTTACTTAGGATCTAAACGGTATTTAGTTTCTTTATCATCATCATCATCATTCTTATCGCATGCGCCAGGCCGTCTCACATCATCGCTATTGATAAAAAGCTTTGGTGGACTGTTTTTGTCATGCTGCTTTTTGGAGGCAGATAATGAATATGTGACTTGTTCTTTCAGTTCAGCAACACTCATTGCTTCTTCTCGAGTATTCCTCAAGTCTATCAATATTTTCCCCATTAAGCGCCTAGCAACCTTTTTTTTTTTGTTTACACGGAAGAATATATTTTTGATAAGATGTGAGATCACAATAACTACTCTCGTAGGCTAGCAAAATGTCACACCTTTGAACCGATTTTAAGCTTCTGTTGCGGATTGATTCCATACTCGTTTGGGATTACACCATCTGCAAGCAACTGCAACCACATCACACATTAGTCATAAGCGCAATACAGAGAGATCTACTAATAAAGGTCATGATCACTAGTAACGTGCCTTAGAAGATAACAAACTATATATTATTATAAGTGATAAAAGGGGAGAGAAAGTAGAGTTTGTACCTGTGCAACTTTGAAGAGTTCATCTAATCCTTTTAAACCAAGATGGGAATTATGCAACAAGTCGTACCTGGTGATGATAAGAGACATACATCATATTCAGAACAAGTAAATAAAGATAGGTGTAAATCTAAAGATACACCAAAACATATAACTTACTTGCATGAATCATAAACATCTGGAATCTGCGTGATGTCAAATCGGCTGCAAGTTAAACTCAACTATTAGTAAACTTCAATAATGTTACAAAAAAAAGTTTGAGAAGCATTGGTAAAGTAAAATCCGATGATAAACTTAATTACTCTTTTCTTTCATTATAGAGATCTCTTGCGAGTTTTATCCATCGAGCAAACATGAGAAGGAACCCTTCACTACCGCATGGTAATCCAGAAGCAATCCTATCACTGTCAATGTTTGTTTTTCCAAGTGCCTTGGCTTGATCATACATATCATATGGCTCATGAGTGAGGTTCTCGTTCTCACCCATTGCGAGTATTCTTACTTGTTCAGTCACATTCTTGGTCAATGTCACCTAATGAGGGAGCCACAAAACCAGAGATGTTACCAATGTGCAAACAAAACTAAAAGATGGTTGGTTATATACTTCAACTAAGAGTAGATGGAAAAAGTGTGAGTACCAATTCATGGAGGAGTTGTTGAGCATTTGGAGGAACTCCAGATCCGTCAGTCATCCAAGGGAATTCTTCAGAGGATCCATTCTCATGGATCATCTTTTTGCCAGATGTTACAATCTCATTCAATCTAGCCTGCATAGTCCAAGTAAATGAAATCAATCTTGCTGATTGATAGACACAAAGTAAATGAAATCAATCATGGGACAAAACCTTGGCCGCTTCCATTTCAATGCTGGCAGTATCAAGACCATCCAACATGGAAGAGTCCTTACTAACCAAAGAAACCTAGATAATTAAAGACATATATTAAAAACACATGATGACATTGCAAATTAAGCACCACCACGGTATCTCAGCAAGATAAAAAGGGGACAAACCAAGATTGGTGTCAGCTGTCCTTCTAGGTCAAGCAAGCCTTTAGCAAAAGCAGCTGCAGACATCTGTGAACATTCCAAACCATTTAATATGTTTCTAACACATATATATGCTTATCATCAATACTATCAAAAATGTAAAGGTGTACCTGAACACGTCCCTCGTCAGAGCTGTAAATTTTAAGGTCATGACGGTATGTACTATGGAGACGAAGCAAACCAGTCCCTTCACCTGCAATCATATTAAGACCATTCATCGTGAAATACTCCAAAAAGAAAAAGAAAAAGAAGATATTCATCGTCACAAGTACAATAAACTGCTTCAGAAAGCTAAGTGTGACATAAAAGCACATCAGGTCCACTTACCTCGATACATATTGTAACGGAAGAATCTACCAAGTTCTTCTGCCTGCATACATAAGGACCACCAGCACTGGTGTTAGATAAACAATTAGTCTATCTTTGCAATACATTTAACATGACAAACCTGCTTTCTACCAGAGTGTGTTAGAACACCACCGTATTTAAGTATCATAAGAGCCTCTACAGGTTTTTCTTCTTCACCTTCACCATCGTTTTTGGGAACTTTAACCCACTTCAGTGGCTTCAGTTGAACCTTCCTGTATATACCAGAGAAATGTCCACCCTGCATGCGCATACCAAAATGTTCTCTACTATGAGAAAGACCTTATGAATTAAATTAAATGCATAATGCTAGCTTACTTCCCTAACTGATACTATGTTATACTTTCCATGGACCATAATATAAAACTGGATATTTCAAATAGTGAGATCAAATAGAAAGGAGAAAGTACTAAAGAACCTCTTCAAGAACTGCTTTAACTTGCCGAAGCTTCTCAGCATGTTCAAGGTCTTCTGGATCACTATCACTATCCCGACCTGATCTAAATATATATGAAAAAAAAGGATGACCATATTGTCGTTACCAGCATATGTCAGCAATAAACGGAAAATGTCACTAGAAAATGCATCACAGAAACACCAGGAATATTCCAAGGATAACATAAGGTTTTTCAATAAACAATGGTTCTTTTTTCACATTTGAAATCCTTGAATCCATTGGCTCTGTACATTAATGAGAAAATCTGAAGCTAGACAACACTTGGAAAAGCTAGACAAGAGACAAAGCGTTGAGTTCAGGGTTATACCTTGTACGGGGAACTAACATTCTTGTGGCATCTAATAGGTCTTGTAACTGGACGGCACTTTTTAGTTTTGTCTGCAAAAAAAAAAAGAAAAATTGACCATATATAAATTAATCAAGGCAGATAAAAGTGGATGAGAGAAAAGCTAAAGCCTCTCACCTCAGCTCTCGGCTTTCCACCATTGTACTTCAACATCAGGTTTAACAGTTTCTCCTCTGTAACTTTTAGTTTCACCTTCTGTTTGGGAGTTCGATCGCCACTATCATGTAAAACAAAAGTTTCAACACTTCTCACAAAGAGAAGTATAGAGGAGATAAAGTGATTATATGCTAAAAAAACATACTGTCGAATAACAGCAATGACACAACGTAGCTCTTCTGATTGCTCACTGCCTTGGCGAGTTAGTCCTTCATTAGGTTTTACAGGTTTATTGACCTTCCACGGAAAATTTGGAGGAAGAGTCGATGAAAGATGAGGAGCCTTTGCATCCAAACACATTTTTCTTAGCACACAAGCAGCATCGTCGTAATACCTTTAATAGTATAGTATGAGAGTTCTTACTTGTAATATTTAACTTTTTAAAAAGTTAAATAAGTGCAGAATGATATTAGCTTACTTGTAAGAGTTCTTGACAAAACTCCATCCATTTACATCACAAACATATGAACATCCCTCGGATCTTAGTAGATCAAACCCACACACCTGAATTTTTTTTTTTTTAAATATTGAAGTACCATTATAAAAAAATAACAACTCGGCAAGAGCCAGAGGATTGGATTCAGAACATACCGCTTGCCTAAATGCAATGCAAAGTTGTCTAGCCATTTGCTTTTCGGCAGGTGTAAGCAACACTGGATATCTCACCTGTTCAACAAAATATCCAAATAATGTAAACTTAGGCGTACTACACCGTCATGAAACATTTAGCAAATCATACTATCATCATAATCTTTAGATTTTTAGCCCGTTCTCCATAAGAAAGTGGGACAATGTTAGGTTTCATGCTGTTAAGCTAATGATAGGTAGACGTACCTCCTTGCCATCATTATTCCTCATAACAACACCATCAACAACAGGAGACTTTCTTGCTTCAGCATGTGCGTATTCAGGGCCCACTGTGTAGACCTGTATTTAGCCAGCATGCAAATGGTCAGTACAGAGCTCGTGAAGGCCAAGATTTTCTCAAGACAAAAACAACCAGTAGTAGGAGCTAAGTCATATAAACATATAGCCATTAATATGATGATAACTTAGGACACTTGATACCAACAATAGTACAATATTGTCAGACAAGATTAATGTGGTCTAAAAGATGAAATGAGCTAATAGAGAAACATGCAGACGGAAAACAATCACAAACCTTGACATCAGTTCCTCCGGTGGGCATGAACTCCTCATATATAAAGGAACCCTCTCTCCTTACTCTTCTGACGTCAGGATGGAACTCACTCGATCGGTTCCCAATCTAAATGCCAAAATACATTAGCGGAAAAAAAATCCCAGAGGATTATGACACAAATGATTATGAAAAATATATTAGAATATAAACAATTTCAATCAACAGCAGGAAACTTCTTATGCATAGATACCTTGCGGAACAATTCCTTCATGCCTCCACCTGCAGAGCTAGGGTAGTATATCATGATACTATGGTCATCTCCTACAAACACTCAAGAAAAAAATAGTATGGAAATCAGAAGATGAGGATGGACAGCATCATATAACAACTAAGAACACTAAATGAGTATATTGACTTGAAAAAGCATTACTGTTCAAGTGAATTTGGTTACGAAGTATCAGAGGAAAATACAGAACACTTTTGTAATTATTATGTTTCTAGTTTAGACTTATGGATAAATAGATTGGCATGAAAAAGAGAGCAATAGGCAGTAAAAAAAAAGAAGAGAAGATCACCATTGACAGGCTTTTCCACAAATGGCTTCCAGAAGCGTTCACCATTAACCTCAACAAAATCTTCTTCCTCCACAAAATAATCTAGGTCTTCATTTGGTACCTTTCTGTTAACACAAGCATACCTAGGAACTGGGATGCCATACATTTCAAGATGCTGATAATGCCACACAAAAAGCTATATTCTGTTAGTAAAAGGAAAAAAAAAAGAGCATATGTAGTAGTAGCTCTTTGAAAACATTGTATTATTATAAAAAGTGCACAGAACCAACTTTCTTGCAGCCTAATATGCATTACCTCATACACCTTGCGGCGATCATGAAGAAGATACTGTGGATCTAGTTCATTCACTAAAAATGGCCTGAACAAGAGAAGTTCAAAACGTCAAGCTCAGAAGCCGGACTCATGATTGAAAGCTTTAATTATATGTAGCCAAGAAAAAGGAATAATAAGAAAGTAAAAAGTAAAAACTCACTTTCTTAAAGCAGCATATGCCTGAGCCTTTTCAAGAGGATATCCACAAGAATGAAAAGCAATTAAGCAATCACAAATGGGCCAGCTGAAACAACAAATTCTCCTGTCAAGTTTTTGTACTTGTATATATATATATATAGTAACTACTATTTCTCCTAGTACAACACTAAAATAATGGAACATTCATAATTGAGAAAAGTTAAAAGTAAACTTTTATTCCTATAACATACCTTTCTATTGGATCTTCAAGTATGGTTTTATCCCCAAACTGTAAGATCTGCCAATAAAGTTGTCCATATGACATCACATATAAAAACGGGTGGCGAGAGAGAATATACTGAGACAAGGGTCAACAACTTTTCTAGTCGCAAACTAATGTCAACAACTTGCAAAATGAACACAAAAAAGAGCATCTTATTTTTTTGCTAAAATTTGGTGCATACAAAAAGAGCATATTCCAAGCTAAGCATCACAAAAAAACAACTCATCTAATCAAAAGCAACCTCTCTCCAGGTCCAGGCTAAATAACAAACTAAAAAATATGATGAAAAACAAAATGGAACTAAAACAAGAAACCCATAAGTAAAAAGGTTACCTCAAATTCACCAAACGACTCAAGTCTGTCCAGAATTTGTCCCATGGGACTTGAAGAGACCTATAAATCAAAAACGAGCTAAATCTATGAACACATAGTAAAACCATAAAAAAGGAAAGAGAACGTTGGAACCGCATTTCACCTTCTTTTCCATGACGCAGACTCCAACTTTTATCTTCCCACCAACAGCAACACTTGCTCCTTCATCCACCTCCATTCTCCTCCTCTACGTTGCTTGTTCCTTCTCCTCTTTTGTGTTATACAGCTACAGGTATCCTCTCACAGATTCACAACTCACACAAAAATCTCGCAGATAAGAAGACTAAGAGAGACTTACCAGTTAAACAATGAATGATCACAAGGCATAGCAATAGCAACAATATATATTGCTTGTGCTGAAGGCAAAACATAATCAGACTTTGGAAAGAAAATATATTAAGAATATCTAACGGAGCAGTGATGATTGATGAAGCACACGATGACATAGAAGGGACATTCAGTCGTCACTGCCCGTGGCGCTAAAACTTAATAAAATAAAATATGGTTAATTTTATATTTTCTAGTCAAAATGGAGCCACGACTTAACGTTACATAATATGGCCCGTGAGCTGATTGTGATGCTAAACTTTTTTATTAAATGTGATTACTAACAAACTAATGTATCACACATGGTCCATTGTGGCACTTATCAATATTACATAAAAATCTACCAGTCATTATTAAGGTTCTGGTATGATTTTTTTTGGTCAAGTAAATAATATAAAAATAAAAACTGTGAAAGAATAAAATCCAAGGATTCCAGGATATGCAGAAGAGAAAAATGTAATTTAGCTTTTTGGTTGCTTTCGAGCTTTTTCTTATTCTACACCATCCTTGCATAGAGTTAAAAACGTTTCAATCCTAACACTGTAGCTGACATATCAGGCTTTCTTACTATATTTGTTTATGATAAATTTCTGCTAAACCTGATTCGTTAGGTATGATTTAATCAGATATGTTCAGTCTGAAGATTTTACAGGAAATTTACTAAAGTTTGATTTTGTTTTTTCGGTTTGGTCCTTATGTTCGTACACTTTTAGTTTCTTTTAATAAGTAAATAAAATTAATATTATCAAACTTTTAGCGTCTAAAAGCAGGTTGAACTAGACTTTTGAGAAGAAATGTTTTATATGACCTGTTCAGTAAAATTTGTTCACATTCTGTATTACTTAATCATAGTCTCCCTGGCTTCAACTTCAATTTTTCCGGTAAGGGTTGAAGTACCCTGATTCATAATGAACATAAACCGTGTGTTTATTATTTCATTGTATTTTGCATTTTTACAATTTGCGTGAAAAGATAGAATATTGTAAAAATGAAACAACAAGTAAACCCTGTTAAAATGGATGCCTTTTATTCAAAAAACCTTTGGAAACCACAATTTCATTTTAGGTGATTTATTGGGTAACATGAAACCCCTGATTATACCATCACACCAGTGGCTGCTTTGAAGACAAGATAACATTTGGATCCATAAAATATCACAATGTCCTTCAGGAATTTTTGGTTGTGCCGCTACGGTTTTGACAAATAGGCTATTGATCCTCTTCAGAGTTAATCACTAATTTTTACCGATAATTTTAAGAAACATTAATTAAGTATCAACTATCATGTTCTTAAAGTGATTATCACGTATTAGATTTCCAAGGTGCTACAGTTCACTAGTTCAGCAAGATAAATTTTTTTTTCTTTTCTTTCTGATGCTGCAATTCATCATGTTCTTAAAGTACATTAACTCGTACTTGTTCTTGTCCAATTTCATGAAAGCTTTCTATGAGGCTTTGCAAAACACACATTGTCTTCTGCTCAGAAATATGAATTCATTCTCACTGACTCGTTAAGAATCTCTGAAGTCTGACATGTGAATATTTCATAAAATCATCACCACAGAAACCAAACTATATATAAATCAAATTACTGTTTAAAAGGAAGATATCAGAGATCAGAGTTTGGTTAAGAAAGTTTTCGGTCACGGTTAATCTGAAACACGGACCAATTTGTTGCTCATCATATCTCTTCTTAATCCTAGACTTCAAATCAAAACCAAAACGAAGATGACATTAAAAGAAAGATCATCAGAGACTTAAATACTAAGAATCATGAAAATCATATTGTTGCAGTATTATCTCATCATCTGATCTATCCTCATTGTACTCACACAAAGAAATCAAAACACATAACTCTATAGATAAAAAGCCACAGAAGATGAACAAAAGGTGAAGAGACAAGTCTTAATTGATTTGTGGATGTGAGAGAGAGATGTCTCGTATTTATATGTCACCGGCGCTGATTGTCAATGAGAAACCCTAGCAAATTAGTGGTCGTACATGGGCTATTCATAAGGCCCACTATACACCACCTTCATGGGCCCATTAACTAATTGACAACTTAGCAATTGCTCAAATAATAGTCAGAGGCTCAGAGCTATTATATAGGGGGAGGGGGTCTAAACTCTAAAGTTTCTGTTGATTTTGTTGTTCTTATCAGGTTGCGGATGGTTCTGCTACTTCTGCAGATGAGAAAGCTTTGGGTGCTATGGAGCTAGAGTGAGTCCGAAGAATCTGCTATATTTCATCAAGTCTTGAAAAGAGAGGCCTCTCTGTAAATGTGAGAACACTGACATAGAGACTGCTTCAACAACCGCCAAGAAACTGGATGATGAAATTTCGAAAACGGTTTTCTCTGGACTTGATAACGTCAAGTTAGTACTTCGCCTTCTAACCATAAGTAGGATACCGTAAGGAGGAAGACATGTTTTCTCTAAGAGATTTATTCATAAAATCTTATGTTACAAATGCATAAGACTCTTTACATTACTGTTTCGTTTGTTTGGTTGCATAACATCTCAATTCTCACATCGACCAACAACAACAAGAGAGTAGTACTGAGAGATAAATTACAGAAAGCAGAGAACTGAATAATTTTATATCCCGGAGATGAGACTCAGTTCTTGACAGTGGTGACATGTTTGAGGAGCATCTCCACAACATCATTAGAAATCCTGGAAGCTTCATTCTTCAACTGTTCGATTTTGGCATCAGTCTCTTGTTCCAGCCTCTTCACATTAGCACCTGAGTCCCCACTAGTCTGTTTTCCCACCCAAATACGGATTATTAGGAAGAAAAAAGGATACTGTACTGTCTTTGACGACAACTTTGTAGAAGATGTGTTACCTCCTCAAGTTTTCTCTGAAAGTCTTGCTCTGTTTTAGCTTTGTATTCTGCAATCTCCTTCTCAGCCTCTTCCTTGGCTTGCTTCAGCCTTGCCATCTTTGCTGCAAGTGCAACCAAGATCACAAAATCAAATTCCAAACATATATAATCAAAGCTCCAACGCAGGAATTATCCTACAATGGCTATCATTTATAAATATGAAATAGAGAAGTATGAATAAATTTTCAGCCACAAGGTCATTTGTGTTGATGTATAGATTCAGATTCCAAGAACGTCTAGAAGGAAGAAAAAGAAAAACATATATAAGTACCCGTCCTAGCAGCATTGACAATCTGTTGAGCTTCCTGCTCAGCAGCAAGCAACTGCTGAATCCCACCTTGACCTCCTCTGCTCGATTCCATCTTCTTCTTTTTTATCCTACACAAACTATATAACTCTTGTTTTATAACACAATAAATAATTGAAAGTGAAAAAAACATTTTTTTGACACACAAGCTAATAGGTGATTAGTGAGGAAAGAAATAAAAAAGATTGCACATAATCCAACTAACTGATCACACTATTTGGCGGGAGATTTTAATGAGAAATACTACAGCAAGTACTAACAAAGGATGATTCTTGTTTCAAAGTGTTGGTTTTTTAGGTTCGGTCGGAAAAAAAAACATAATTTGATCCGTTAATTTAAAGCAGATCATTTGTTAAATGAATTCAATAACAATTCGAGAAAAATCAAAATAGATCTAAGAAGCAGTCAACGATCCATTGGAGAGAGAGAGTTTGAGAGAGGGAGAGAGAAGGCATACCTTTTGGAGGAGAGAGAGACAGTCAATCGGAGAAGTGATCTAATGACACGTTTACCTCTCTTCACTTGTATGACACAGTATGAGTAGTGGCCCACGTTTTATTCAAATGTAGTCCTCTTTCATAATGGGCCATAATTTATTCTGACTTAGCCCATATAATTAAAAAGAAAAGGCCCAAACATTAAATAAATTAAAATAGTAACGTATTATTGTTGTTACGCTTTCTGTCTCTCACTCATTCATCAAAACAAATATTCCTGACACTCTCTCTCTCTCTCTAACCTTCCACGTTTTTATCGCTTTGAACACCATTCACAGATTCGATCTCTCTCTCTCTCTCACCCACACCCCCACCCCCTCCCCCCCTCCATGGAATCAGATAACAGCACAAGCTTCACCTACCTCGGCCGCAACTTCAGCAACCTAAGCCTCAACGACCACTCCTCCGCCTTCAGCGACTGCAACAGCGACAGATCCGGCGAGTTCCCCTCCGCCTCCTCCGAGAGCCGCCGCCTCCTCCTCTCCTGCGCCTCCGACAACTCCGACGACCTCATCCGCCACCTCGTCGCCCACCTCGACTCCTCCCGCTCCGTCGACGAGCAGAAGCAAGCCGCCATGGAGATCCGCCTCCTGTCCAAGAACAAACCGGAGAATCGGATCAAAATCGCCAAAGCGGGAGCGGTTAAGCCGCTAATCTCGCTGATCTCCTCCTCCGATCCGCAGCTCCAGGAGTACGGAGTCACCGCCGTGCTTAACCTCTCCCTCTGCGACGAGAATAAAGACTTGATCGCTTCCTCGGGAGCGATCAAGCCGTTAGTTAGGGCGTTGAAGATGGGGACGCCGACCGCGAAGGAGAACGCCGCCTGCGCTTTGCTGAGGCTCTCGCAGGTTGAGGATAATAAAGTCGCGATCGGGAGATCAGGAGCGGTTCCGTTACTCGTGAATTTACTCGAAACGGGAGGATTCAGAGCGAAGAAAGACGCGTCGACCGCTCTTTACTCGCTCTGTTCGGCTAAGGAGAATAAACTCAGAGCAGTTGAAGCGGGGATCATGAAGCCCCTTGTGGAGCTGATGGCGGATTTCGGATCCAATATGGTTGATAAATCGGCGTTTGTGATGAGTCTGCTTATGTCTGTTCCGGAGTCGAAGCCTGCGCTTGTGGAGGAAGGTGGGGTGCCTGTGCTGGTGGAGATTGTGGAGGCGGGGACGCAGAGGCAGAAGGAGATTGCTGTGTCGATACTGTTGCAGCTTTGTGAGGAGAGTGTGGTGTATAGGACTATGGTGGCTAGGGAAGGAGCGATTCCTCCGCTGGTGGCGCTTACTCAGGCGGGGACGAGTCGGGCGAAGCAGAAGGCGGAGGGGTTGATTGAGTTGTTGAGGCAGCCAAGATGTGTTAGTAATGGTGGGAGATAGATGATTGAATGAACCTTCTTCTTTTACTTTTGTTTACATCTTTTACTCTTTTTTTCTTACACTGTTAATGGTATAGATACACAGATGAGAAGGGAAAGAAAGTGTAAATAGTTTGTTGTGCACTAAAAGTGTAGGAAGTTAGTTTGCTTTGCCTCTATAATGTGTATCTTCTTGCGTTGTGATCCAGTTGATAAATTTCAGTTTGGTTTTAACCGTTCCTCTGAGCTGACTTTGTAATAATATATTAGTATTAGTAAATTAACCCAAAAAAGCATGTGCAGAGTCTGACTAAATCGTTAATAATACTCTGAAAAAGAAAACAGTATTATACTCCATTAGAACATAATTTAAAAAGACGAGAAACATAGACATGTTCTTGGGAAGTCAATATACTGTTTGGGACAAAGCAAAAGACAGAGAGAGAGAAGAGCATGTTCATGATCATGTTAACACCTAGCATGTCAAAAGACATGATCACAGAAACAAGAAAACATAATGTAACTCCACTGATGAATATTCCCTTCTTCAAGCTTCTTCTAGACGTAATACTTCCTTTGACCCTCTGAATACGCATTGAGTTTACAAGAAAAGAAAACACAAAACCTGGTTAGCTTATTAACATCCATTTACTAAAAAAAGGAAAAAAAAAAACTGGAATCCATATATATCCTTTTAAGATCACGAACTAATTAACTCACCCGCGAGATTGATGGCTTGGTTAGCTTGAGCATCTGCCTCAGAATTGTGTTCCTGCAAACCAGACAAGCTTAACAATTAATTGTCATCGAATGTATTAACAACGAATCGAAAGACTTTCCAAACACAACAAAAAAAGAAGATAAAACTCGGTTCTAAACTTCTAATTCACTGAAAATATCATGCGATTGTTAACAATCGAGAGGATAAAAAAAAATCAGCAGCTAAAGAAAAGGGTTTAAAGGTTTTACCCTGCCAATATGTTCAATATGGAAAAATTCAAACTGACTCAAAAGCTCCCTGGCATGGTTACAAAGCTGAGCCATTTGGGGGTGATTAGCCTTCCACCGACCTCGAACCTGTTGCCAATTAGTCAGATACCAACACAAACAACTGGAACACACACACACACACACACACAAATAAAGTAAGAGAAGAAGATTACGTCACCTGCATACAAACAAGCTGTGAATCACCATGGACGCGCACATGTGTAAACCCTTCCGAAAGAGCAAAGTCGAGACCAAGAATGAGAGCTCGATACTCTGCAACGTTGTTTGTGGCAAAGCCTAAACCCTCGCGACAACGGAAGAGCACACTGTTATCATATAAATCACGGATAACAGCTCCTGCACCAGCTCTTCCTGGGTTTCCTCTGGAAGCACCGTCAAACTCGATGACACATGAGTCCTGATGTTCAAGGAATATTTTTTTAAAAACATGCAACAAAAAAAAAAAGACACAAAATAAGCAACGTATATATATTGCTGAACGGAGGAGGTTAGAGATATACTCGAGAAGGTCGGTCATATTGAGTAGCGTTGGTCTCAGTATTCCAGAAGAACAAATCTCCAGTTCGAGCATCGATAAGGCCTTTCCACGGCTTGGGAAGAGAAGGATCCTCAGGTGCGTAACGGGCTGCATAAGGTGCCATAGCAAGCAAAGTTTCTGCAAATAAAACATGAGCAAAGGAGTTACTATTTTAATTTAATTAGATGAACCAACAAACACAAGAGAAAAATGCTAACTAAGCAACAATACAACAAACAAAGCAGGACCGGCTTTAAAAAAAAAACAGGTGGGACCTTGTGCTATATAATATATAGTTTTCTATGTTAAAGTTTGGACCATCTTGTGATTTAATTTATTTTTAAATTAAGACCCTAAAATAGAAAAGAAGTTTAATTGAAATGGTGGGGACTTGTGCGTTTGCACACTCAGCACTACGCCAAAGACGGCACTAAAAACCAAGTGTAGGCTTTAATATCATGTTCAACTAAATGCATGGTAATTATAGAAACTCGTAAAAGCCAACATGATTCGATCTGAGTATATTCGATAAAACAAAACCGATAGAGAGCAAGGCGGTGAATCAAATCAGTTTTTACGACGGCGGGGGAAGTTTGTTTCGTCTAGGGAAGAACACGTACCTGACCGATTTCGAGTGCCGCTAAAGAGGAAACAAGTGTGGAAGTAGACCTAGAATAAAGTAGAGGTGGATGCGACGTCCGTGAGGTTTTTATAAACCAACCATCCAACGTCAAAACGAGCCGCCTTCTACTCTTTTGGGCCTTTTTGGACCCTATACTCTATTTTTCATGGCCCGTTCTTTTATATCTTATTTTATCACGATTTATATATATACTAGTATAGTTCTCGTGCTACGCACGAACATTATTGTTTTTATACATATTCTAATTACATAGAATATATTTATTTTTTTTGTAAAAAGGATATATATATATATATATAATTTACTGTGAAAGTAAATATTATTTTGAGATTTAACAGTGGTGCACTTGAAAATATGGATATTGATGTTAATACTATAACATACTAATATATATGGATCCATAATGCATTGTAAAATATTAATCGCTTAATCCAAAATCATTATATTAAAAATGAAGGGAAAGTATATATCTTGCACAAGTACAATAAACATCAACTTTGCTTGTAGATAATTCACGTACGTGTTTTCACTCCTCTTACATTTTTTTTAGTTTTACCATTTTTTTTCATTTTCAATGCTGTACTTTTGGACTAAAAAATATTTCAATGATTCTAACGTTTTTGTTTTCGAAAAAATTTACAAAAGCAATGTTGATCCAAAAATAATATCAGCATACAAAAAAAAAGAAATATCAACCTGATGTTAGTTCTTGGTCTAGAAGTAGACATGAGTCTCTTAAGCCTCATTTTTACCTTCTTGTTATCACCATATTTTGTTTTCTTCTTGTGGTGCTTCTCAAACTGCAGAAAGTATGTAAATTTTGCTAATATCTAGAAGAACAAAAGGAGATAAACAAAACTATAGTAAGTTAGGGGAAAGAAGTTCATAAAAAGAAACATTAAGAATATATGATTTGAGTAAGGAGTCTGGACGTGTTTAGTCTCACTTACAATAATTTGAACTTTCTTCTGTCAACTTTGCAGAAGCTTTACCCATAGAAAATGTGTGCTTTCTTTTTTCTTCTTCGGTGAACAAATCTTCAAAAGCTATTGTTGTGCAAATGTTTAGTAAGATATACAGTTGGCGAAGAATGATCGATACAATCTTCTGAAGTTAAAAAAATATTGAATTTCGTCACTTTAAGAAGAAGGAGAGAATGAGTGGAAAATGCATGTAGAGATAAATTTGAGTTAGTTGTTCAAAAAAAAGATAAATTTGAGTTTATAGAATCGTTGAGTCAACTGTTTTATACGCAAAATTTAACTGTTCAAAGATCATGGTTAGTGGGAGAAATATTAGAGGATTTTAACATATATCAAAAACAAATAACATAAATTAATAAACTGAACTGCTTTTACGTGGGTCTGATTTTTCTTTTTGCTTTTCTTTTTGTTTTACACATACTTTTAGTTATATTTTTAAAAATTCCACATGTCAGTATTTGATTGGTCGTGCGACTTGTGTTTTAGTATATAGAGGATATATTTTTGAATATAGCTTCACGATTTGTATTTGTTTCGGTATGTATGAATTCCCTCTAAAATCTATGGCTGCTGGGTAACAGCATATTAATATTAATTTTAGTAAATTAACCCGGAATTCTTGCATGTGCAGAGTCTGAAGGTAGTTTTTTTTTTTTTGATCAAAAGTCTGAAGATAGTTATTAATAGAAATCTTAATAATATCTTGAAGAAGAAAACAGTATTATACTAGAACATAATTTTAAAACGAGTGAAGCATAAGCAAGTTCTTGGGAAGTCAACATAATGCTGAGACAAAGCAAAAGAGATAGAGAGAGAAGAGCAAGTTCATGATAATGTTAAAAGACATGATCCCAGAAACAAGAAAACATGTCCTCCACTTATTAATATTCCCTTCTTCTAGGCTTCTTCTAATAATACTTCCTTTCACCCTCTGGATACGCATTGAGACAAGAAATGAAACACACAAAACCTGGTTAGCTTATTAAGAAACTGGAATCCATATATATCCTTTTAAGATCACAAACTAATTAACTCACGTGCGAGGTTGGCCGCCTGGTTAGCTTGAGCATCTGCTGCAGAATTGGATTCCTGCAAACCAAATAGCTTAACACTTAATTCTCATCTAATGTATTAACAACGAATCGAAAGACTTCCCAAACACAAAAAAAAGTAAAAAAATAAAACTCGGTTCTAAACTTCTAATTCACTGAAAATATAATGCGATTGTGAACTACTGAGAGGATAAAAAAAAAATCAGCAGCTAAAGAAAAGGGATTGACCCTGGGAATGTGTTGAATGTCGAATGTGTTAAACTGACTCCCAAGCTCCCTGGCCTGATTACGAAGCTCAGCCATTTGAGGGTGATTGGCTTTCCACTCACCTCGAACCTGTTGCCAATTAGAGTCAGACAGTTAACATAACTACTGAAACACACACACACACACAAAAAGAAGATTACGTCACCTGCTTACAGACGAGCTGTGAATCACCCTGGACCTGCACATTTCTATACCCTTCCGAAAGAGCAAACTCGAGGCCACGATTGAGAGCTCGATACTCAGCAACGTTGTTTGTGGCAGTGCCTAGACCCTCTTGAACACGGTGGAGCACGCTGTTATCATGTGCATCACGGATAACAGCTCCTGCACCAGCTCTTCCTGGGTTTCCTTTGGAAGCACCGTCAAACTCGATGATACAGTCCTGAGGTTCAAGGAATCAGATTTCAAATATTTAAGACAGATGCAAAGAAACAAAATAATGAAGCATATGGCTAAAGGGATGAGCGTAGAGATACCTTCTTAGCAAAGTTGCGAGTAGAACGAGAAGAATCCATAGCAAGCAAAGTTTCTACAAATCAAAACATGGGCAAAGGAGGAGATACTAATTAAATTCATTACATGAACCAACAAACACAAGAGAAAATGCTAACTAAGCAACAATAAAACAAACAAAGCAGGACCGGCTAAAAAAAACAGGTGGGACCTTGTGTCATTATAATATATTTTTTTTCCTATATCAGTAGATGATTTTAAAGTTTGGACCAGCCTGTGATTTAATTTATTTTTAAATTAGCACCTAAAATAGAAAACAATTTTTTGGATCTATCTTGTGATTTAATTTATTTTTAAAAAGGACCCCCTAAAATAGAAAAGAATTTTAATTGAAATGGTGGGGACTTGTGCATTTGCACACTCAGCACTACGCCAAAAGACGGCACTGCAAACAAGTGGAGGCTTTAATAATATCATGTTCTACTAATGCATGCTAATTTTAGAAACACGTAAAATCCCACGGGATTCGATCTGAGTTTTTCCTATAGATCTAAACGGGATAAGGCGGCGAATCAAATCAGGATTTACGATCTCTAGGGAAGAACACGTACCTGACTGATTTCGAGTGCCGCTAAAGAGGAAATGAGTGTGGAAGTTGACCTAGAAATAAAGAGGATGTCGACGTCCCTTTATAAAGGAAGCAACCATCAACCATCTAAACGAGCCGTCTTCTTCTGGTTTGGGCCTTTTTGGATCCAATGCACCTTATTTCATGGCCCGTTCGTTAATTTCTTATTTTATCATATGGTTTTATATTTATTTTTGCTTCACTGAATAATAACACACGTATTCACGTAATATGATTACAATTTGTCTAACGGCAAGAGTGCTGAGGGCAAGATATTCTCCACATATTTAGTAGTCGAGATATTTATCTTTGATGCAAAAATGGCTGAACTAGATATTCTCCAGATATTTAGCAGTCCACATATTTATCTTTGATTTTATCTTTGATATTTAGCAAAAACGGCTCGCAGTGTAGCAGTGCGAACTTCTTGGTAGATAAAAGCAGACCCAAATATTGAAATATCTCATTGGAAGAAAGCCTTGAGTGATACCGGATAATACTAACGAGGTCATCAAACTCAATATTGTGTTCAAACTTCAAATAGCTCACTTTCAGTTTATTCTCTGAATAATCAAACTCGTTTTATTGTTGAAGTAATATTTGGTTTATGCACATACATAAACAGAATTTTTTTGTAATAACTATTTTGGGCAGAGTCTAATTGGACAGACTGAGAATGCAATACACCGAGCTGCTTTTGCCAGCCTGAATCTTTCGCTCTCTGTCAGCACTCTCTCGATCACTTTTATGATATTCGCATCCTGCAAGAAACATCATTAAGAGCTTTCTTCAGATAAATGTCTTAAAATACCAATTATTATCTATCCATGTTTTTCTTCTTTGTATCAAGAACACAACTATTTCATAGTGTAAATACTTACCTTCCTTGGTTGTTGAATAGTAGGCCTGACGTTAGCAACATCTCCAACTACTATTATGTTATTAGTATTTCCTCGATCATCCCTTTCCGTTGGTGAAGTTGTTGAATGCCTCCAATCACCATTGATTATATACTTGTAGTAGTATCTGCCACATTATCAACGATCAGCAATGTTATAAAACTAGAACAAACACCTTCGTGATCTCTCGAAACCAAAATTCAACCAACATGCAGGAAGATTGTGGAACGTTTCTGCTGTGTTGGACCTTGAAGATAAGCACAAAATAAGAAAAAAGTCAAAGAAGGCAAGACTTTACTTTCCCTGTGAAAGCCTGACTTCTGTTTCAAAACGTGGACCACCCTTGTGCGTTGCCTTTATCGGTTCTTTCCAGTTTCCAGTGAAGTCCCCAACCAATAATACATCCTCCCCCTGTGACAGAGCAAACCAAGGTCACAGAGTGTGTTGTTAAACCTTACAGACCACGAGATTCCTGCAAGAACTGCATCAACATATAAAAAAGGGTGTACCTCATGTCCATTCCACACAAAGGTCACAGAGTGTGTTGGAGGTTCATCATGTTTGCCATCGTCCACCATTGCAATTAGATCCCATGTTGCCCAAGCAATTGCAGGTCTGTGATAAATTAAATATCAGTTAAATGTTGTTTCAATTCAAACAAAAAAAAAGTTGATAAATTCTGTCTGCAGGCTAATGAAGGAATGATCAAGAAAGAGATGAAATGAACGGAAACCTGTCAGGTTTGCAAGCGTGCAACCCTGTAACGAAGCTATAAGCAGCATGAAGAGAGGTATCTGTCATCCAGTGCAGATAAGCAATCACACAAGCTGAGGACCGGTCAAAACCAGTGGTACAAGTTACAAACACACGATGGTTCTTTTTCAGTAAACGTAATAAGAGGCCAACACAGAGTGGTAGTTTCTTCCTCAGATCAAAGGAATCTGCATCCCTGGCACCAAACAACACTGTTAACATTCTTGTTCACACCTGACCAGAGCGCTAAGAAAAGAAACACACACATGAGAATCCTTCTCAAGGGAATATGAATTTGCATACTTTATAGGATAGTTGATCATTAAGATTTCAGATTTCTGGCATGCATCGTTGATTTTTTGTGAATCAATTCCCCAGTTTTGAGCTTCGGTTCCACCTTGGAAATTTAGTATAGCAGTAATTCCCTAAAGCGGGAAAGCTTAACCAATCAAAACCAAATATTATCAATACCATAGAAATCAAAATTTTTCAACTGTAAAGCACTCACTGCGTCTGATAAATTTTCCACATCATCTTCCGTTTGTATACATGAGCCAACATATATCTGCTCTGTAATCTGCAAAACGGCCAACAATAGAAGAATGGTGTTGGAGAGATTGAACAAAAAGGGAAAGAAAACCAAATTTACAGACCTTACTGTAGCGCATTCCAAGAGCATGGTTATAATGCAGCTCTCCTTTGGATCGGTCAAGGGCTTTGATGTATTCCTCTAAAGGGAAATTACCATAACCCCATTCCCCATCTCCAGGGTCTTGTTCTGAAAAGACACAGACCAGTGGACTAATAGGTGGAGAAAGAATGTTCTTGTGCGTCCCTGATTGAAAGGAACTGCTGTGTCTGGTCAAAAGTTTCCATCCTTGGGGAGTAAAGAATTTCGAGGAAAAAGCAGCATATCCAGAGTTTCCACTGCCTTGGGATGCTGTAAGATTGGATGACAAAAGATTCTTGTTCCAAGTAACAAAGGAAACGCGTCCTCTGTTGTAGAGCAAATCAATGTCGCTTAAGTGGACAAGGTACTGAACAGGAAACGGAGAGAATGGTCTTTCAAGAACAAGGCTGAATGTTCCTCTTCTCTCTACCAACATCTTCCTGCAAAAAAAATAAAAAATAAAAATAAGGACTAAAATGATAGTGGTATTCAGGGATGATTCTGTGAATAGCTAAGTGAAACATTGTATTATAACTCCCTTTTCTTTTTGTAAGAAATTAGACATAAGCTCCTAAAATTGTTTAATATCTTTTTTTAATAGAAAGTTTTACTAAATCATTTACAGCCCCCAAAATCTCAGTGCAGGTACTCTGCCTCTTAACTAGTCAGCAGCCATGTTAATTCAAATAACAAGAGCACACAGAGCCACAGAGGTCTTAAACACTTACTGTGTATCACCAACATCATTGATTTCAACAAGAGAACCACCAGAAGAAGAATCGCTAGCCTTCTTAAGAGTATCTCCAACCATAATAATCCTCGCCTTCTCCGCATTACTCTACACAAAACACTCTTCAGAACAATGCACAGTTACACAGATATATAGAGAGAGAGACTCCTTATTTCAAAATTGAATTACCCCTTTTTTAATGGCGTGGACGAAGATGTTACCATCTGCTGACAACGCGAAGCGAATCCCTAGTGGCTTCTCCAGCGTGACCATATACTCATTCAAATTCATCTTAAACGTTGACGACGACATCGCAACAACTTTGAGAACAAGTCTTCGTCTGTTGAACTCGACCTTTTTTCCTCTCCCGCTGAATACGAGGCCATTTCCGGTACCGGATCCGATCAAAAGCGACGGAGAGGGTCGTTCGAGAGCTCCGGAACAGGAGATTCGTTGAAGAAACGCCATGATTTGAGTGTGGACGGGGACGGAGCTGTGTTACGATGGAACTTCGAAACTAGTGTGAGCAGAAAACGAGGCGGCAGATGAGAGGGAGGAGGGGGTAAGAAACAAGTGATCCACGTGGATTCACGTGGGTCCCGCTTTCTTGTGGAAGTGTCTAGCTTTCCTTTTTACTTACGACTTGACACGTGGCTTAATGCAGATAAATATCTAATCCTCTACGAATTGAGTCAACGAATCGAATTGGACTTGAAGATTACTAAAAAAAATAACATGGATACAATTAGTTATCAATGTAAAATTATAAAATAATTTATTTTCTTTTCATATCTCAAAGTTGGACAGAATCAGAGCCCAACAATGGAATGTAATGTTGGACAAGATTCGGACTCTTCTTCACTCACTTGTATTGCATGGTATCTTTGTGGGAGGACTGTGAGTGTGTATTCAGTGTGAAACATGCTAAGTGTTCATGTGACTAATCAAGGAAGAGCAAAAAAGCGTCCTTTCCAAAATGGTAAACTCTTCTTTGATCTTATGCAGATCAGTGTGCTTTTTATAAAAACCATCCAAATTCATAATTTAATGATTGTATGTATGTGTTATTCGTGCGTCTATGTCCAAAAAATTTCAAATAACTTAAGTTTCTAATTGTATTTTTCTTCTGTTTGGTTTTATTTGAGATTTTGATGAGTCTCATAGGCAACTCTAGAAGGACCTACTATTTATGGCTTAACTTACTAAAACTCTGTAGGGGTTTTTTTTTTTTTTGTCTAAAAACCAAAGAACATAGAAAATTCATAATCGTTAATTTAATTTCATTATATTTTTAATGTATTAAAGCAACTGGTGTTGGTGGTGGTCACCATTAAGCAACTGGACGGGCCAGAGATCTTCAACGCTCCAGTAACTGTCGCCACACTGGTCCATCACATTATACGATGTTGTCGTCCTCTCCGGGGATTTTAATTTCTCACCCATATCGAAGGCTTTGCTGGAGCTGCCTTGATCCATCGTTGTCATCACCGAGCTCTGTGAATTTCCCTTACATTGACGAATATTATTCATAGTTTCCGACGACGACAGTTTCATGTGTCTCTGAATCTTTGTCCTCCAGAAATTCTTTATTTCGTTGTCCGTTCTCCCTGGTAGATGTTTTGCAATCTTCGACCACCTATATTCATTTTTAAACCGTAAGTGTACTAATCAAACTAATTACGTACGTACGCATGTCATGAAACTATATATATAACTAAGACTGGCCTGTTTCCAAGCTTGGCATGAAGTTGAATGATCAAAAGCTGCTCTTCTGCTGTTATGTTCCCTCTACGAACATCTGGGCGGAGATAGTTCAGCCACCTGAGCCGACAACTTTTTCCCGTACGTTTGAGACCTTATTATATACATACATAATATAATACTTATCATCAGAATATAACCAATTAAACAACTTGTGGGTGTGTATGTCGTTGTTATTTTAATCATTCTACAAACTCTTAAAACAAAACATAAAACTCATATTGTAAGAAAAATAAAGTATATATGTTTTTGGTTTACCAGAGGCTTTGGCGACGGAGTTCCAAAGACCTTCACCATGATTAAGGATGTAATTAAAGAGGATCAAATCTTCTTCCATAGTCCATGGCCCTTTCCTCACTGTTCCATCTTCTTCTTTTTGAGATGTTATTCTCTCTTTCCCTCTCCCTGTCTTCTTCATCTTTCTTTCTGATCAATTCTTTTTTATTTTTCTTCTGTTTTAGATGTCGGATATGGAGACGGGAAGATTGATCAACAACTATTCTCTTTTATAGGGTTGTTGTGGCTTATGACTACAGTAGCACCATACTATGTGAAACATATGTACAGAAGAAAATTAATTAAAATTGTGTAATATTTGATTACAGAGCTTAAAATAATAACTTGCCTAAGATTATTAATTAATTAAATATTAAATTAAAAGCTTAATGAAATCTCGGCGTGATTAGTTGACGTCCACACAAATCATAAAAAGTGAGAAGGAAGAAAGTACAATATTAAATCAAAGCAGAGCTTGACAGAAACATGACACATATCTTATATATGTTGAATAACGACTATTCCCAACCCTCTCTATATATATGAATATACTAGTCAATATTTAATTAGTATTCAAAACCAGTGAAGATCTTTTCTGTTTAAAATTGAACTCGACCAATACATTTCTTAACCATACGTAGATGACACTTTCTTAAGTGTATTTTATTTGATCAATAGTTCTTATCCTTTTCATGTGTATGAGTCAGATTTACTTTTATAATAAGGAAATTAGAAGAAAAAAAAGCGAAAAGAAAGAAAATTGATTGAAAGTTGTAGTAGCGTTTGCTTTTGGACAATTAATTGAGAGGTTTGCTGTAAATTATATGCCAAATTTAGTAAGTGAAGTTTTGTGGCTGAAAATACAAATGATGTGTCAGCTCATAATTAAATAAAATTATTGGAGAAAAAATAATTAGACATCAAATTGTTTTTCAAGATCAAACAGCTTTCGTGTAGTTTCCCACATAAAATTGAAGTACAATAAAATTGTACTGAAATTTATTTTAAAATTAAGTAGTCTTCATTTAAGAAAAAGACTAGTAATTCGCAAGCTATCATATTCCATATAATAGTTTTTTATATACTAGTGGCTGTGTTTTGGTTGATGATTAATGTATTTAAGATAAAAAGTTTATTTAATACAGCAGTTAATGAAAATATTGATATGGGAAAATAAACCATGTGAGAGCATGTAGCGAGCTTTGAAATAAGATTTTAGGGGTTCATGATTCGTTTAGTTATAAAAGGAAAATTAATTTGTAACCACAAAAACTAGAGTTCATTTAAAGATTAGTAGGCTGTCACCAATTATATTATGATCAAATTACACGAGACATACACTTTCCTCTAAGCTTTAGGACTCGCCAAACTTCCTTTCCAAAGTTTTATTCATTTCATTGGGAAATCAATCTTAGAATTATAAAATCACTTTTGAAAATTAATACACATAAGTTTATCATTAAAATTTTCTTTAAAAAAAAAAAAAAAAAATAGGATCTAAATGTCGATATAAGGAACAACTGAGGTGTGGACCAACAAATGCATATGCATATATATATATAGAGAATTTGTTAGGTGCAGTTTATAAACATTCGAAGTCATAATATTACGGATCCCCATTTTCTAGGGCATCATAAATCATAAAGTTACGTAAAATGACACAATCTGATAATCATCAAATATTAGAAGTAACAACTAACAACGGTGAAAAGGTAAATACATTAAAAATTAATATTCTTTGTGGGTATGGTAGAATTTTGTTATGCGCCAAGGTCCACGCCCCAGGCGCGATAGTTGTTTCGGCTAATAAATTCATGAATTTTTTGCTAACTTGGGAGGTTTTATCTATCCGTGTTAAATCAGATGGATAACGAACAGCCTGGTGTTCACCGTTTTTACATGGAAAGCTCCTATAATATAGTTTCTGAATAGCCGTCGAAGTAGAGCCGTAGAGGTCGAGGTTTTAACAAACATATGAAGTGATTATCATGTTTAGATATAAAGTTTTACGTTAACTAAACAACAAACTTTGAGTATAAAGAAATACAAAAAAAAAACTATATAAAGAAAACAAGCATTTTTAGTTTTTTATGGGGGCTTAGAGTGTCTTGCTAGTCACTTAGGTTCTTCACCGGCCAAAAAAGTATATATAAATGTCAAATGTAGAAACACTCGAACACATTCTTCTTCAATTGGGGAGCTGCAGCTTTTTCTTGTATCTTTTTGCCGTTTATCGGTGTTTCATCATGGATTCATGGAAGCTGCGAGGAGGAGATCCAGTAGAAGACGGTGGTGGAACTCTGTTGAATCTCTCCGGGCTCCGACTCCTTTCACGCTCTCTTCCCCATCCATTGCTGCTTCTACTTCCCATTCCACTAATTTTTATACATAAAATTCACAATCATTTTTTCTTCCATTACCAGACAAAATCAAAGTTAATAAGTTTTTAATCATTTACCTGTCACGTGAACCAAAGCTACTTCTGCCACCATAACCTGAGTCGCTACCTCTGCCACCATAACCAGAGTTGCCACCTCTGCCACCATAACCAGAGTTGCCACCACGACCTCCGGGAGGACCCCAACGGCTGAATTTGTTCATTCCACCACCACCACCACGTGCAGCCATTTCACGGATCTGAGGAGGAACTCGCTGGTCTGCTCCTTCCAAAATCTTGATCAGATCCGAAGCATGTTTCGAGTCTTGATCGCCAAAGAATGTGAATGCCTGACCAGTCGCTCCAGCTCTTCCTGTTCTTCCGATTCTATGAACATAGTCTTCCACTCCATTGGGGAAATCATAGTTTATGACCGCCCTGTCAATCCAACAATACCGTGCTTTAATATAAATGTATTTTAATGTTTTTACAAGGTTCGACTTTGGATAAAAGAATTTATAATATACCTAATGTCCTTAACGTCCAGTCCACGAGCAGCAACATCAGTTGCGACAAGAACCGGAGTCCTGCCACTGCGGAATTGATTCAGAACATTGTCTCTCTCAGGCTGTGACTTGTCTCCATGTATGGCAGCAGCTCCAAACTGGCGGGTCAGACTGCGAGTTAGCTGGTCGCACATCCTTTTGGTTGAGCAGAATATTATCACCTTCGAGCCTGGTTCCTGAGACCGTAATATCTGCTCTAACCTCCTCTGTTTCTCCATTGGTGCTACCACTTCGATGTGCTGTGTCCAGAAAAAAAGAGCAGAACAATCAGATCCTTTTTTTGTGTGGAAATAGTTAGCAGAAACAAGACCATGGTGGTGGCAATGGAACCAAGTCAAAGACATACCTGTGTGATCGACTTGTTAGCCACAAGCTCGTCAACGTTACCAATGTTGACCTGAGCAGGGTTAACAAGCAAGTCCGCTGCAATCTTCCTGACTCCCTTTGGCCATGTAGCTGTGTACATGAGCGTTTGACGCTTAGTGGGAATCTCTTTCACAATCTTCCTTATTTGCGGTTCGAACCCCATGTCCAACATTCTATCTGCCTCATCTAGCACAAGATAAGATACTTGACGCAGACTAATTCTCCTCATCTCAAGAATGTCGTTCAATCGTCCAGGAGTTGCAACCACGATATCAGCTCCTCTTTCCAACTCCCTCAGCTGGGGAGGCTTGGGTGCACCACCATACAAGCACTGAAACAAAGATATTGGTATGCATTAGAAGGATACAAGACAAGTAGCATGTTGACACTTAACAAAAAAAACAGAGAGATCTACTTACCGTGCACGAAATTCTTGACGACCTCCCAAATTTAACAGCTTCGGCTTGGATTTGTGTGGCCAGCTCCCTGGTTGGAGACAATACCAAGATTGTTGGGCCCATTCGCGAATCATTCCGGATGCGTTGAAGATGCATAAAACCAGGAATCAAGTAACCCAAAGTTTTTCCCGAGCCAGTTTTAGCAATGGCAACAATGTCCCTACCTTGCATGGCAATTGGCCACGACTGAGCTTGAATTGGAGTTGGAGCAGAGAAACCTGCACTAAGTACCTAATATAGCAGAAAACCAGGAGGTCCTATGAGAAGAGGAGCACTAAGTTTCTTTTTGGCTTATGGAGTGATAACTCATGTCAGAAGAAGCACCATCCCCCATTTGCAGGCGGCAAAAGATAACTGATGAAACCTGCAGTAGGAGGGCGCCTCTTCTTCTGTCTGGACCCGGTGGTGAAATGAAACATCACACCATTAACAGGCCCGACCACGAGCTTGATGACTACGGAAGCCCTTCCCAAAAAATTTGGTCCCACTCCAAATATTTTGCAAGGACCTCAAAGAAGTAGCACAGTGTACGACATTAGCTCCTCCCAGGAGCAAACATCGCACCTGGTGAAAACAAAAGAAAAGAGAGAACGGGTGCATATGGCATAAAACTTTGACACTAAAATGCTAAACCTAAGGTGATTTTAACTTGGTGATAAAATAAGTCTAATATTGGGAAAACCTAGGTAGCACAATAAATTAGACCATTCTACATAGATCCAACTTATTGGTAGGGCATTGATAATAAAGACAATAGGGCCAGAGGGTTCGTTCATCAGTCATTTTCAATTTACTCAAAAATTAAATTCTTACCTCACGCAGAAGCTCAGGAGGAAAACCAGTAGTTTCAAAGGACATTAGAGGTGCTGGTACTTGGCTCCCCTGAAGAAAAAGGAAAACAAAAATGCTAATTATTGCTTTAGTAATTAAAAGAAGGAAAAAAACATACACAGATAAATGCATCCCCCCAAAAAAAAACTATGTTCTAAAGTAAGCTGGCTCGATATGAACTGTGTAAGACTTCTTTTATTACATGAAAACTAGAAGCTGTGCAAAGCGCTAAGCAAGCACCAGATAAGAGATCAAAAATAACACCCGTTTTAAAAGAAAGTTAGTAAATACTTACACTGACGGTAATTTCATGGCGGCGGCAATATGCCTCGGGAGAAATATCATTTCCTGAATCAGATGAAGGAGGAAGACCTCCTGCAGAGGCAGGGTATGCAGAATTCCCAAGTCCATTGGCACCACCATTCATATACGCACTCCTGTCAATCTGTTACAAATAATCAAATTCAGATAACAACAAGAATCAAATAAAGATAGAGAAATTGCATATTTGCTATACACAAACAAAAAAACAAGTACCTCGCTAAACCTGGAGCGCCTAGGCCCACCTTCACTACCTCTACTGTACTTCTCATCATCCTTGGCAGGAGCATAGCTACCATTCGGTACAGAAGAGGCAACCTGAACGGAGGAGCTTACAGGAACTTGAGCCAAATTTGGAGGTTGAGAGGAAGTAGGTCGGTCATATTGAGTAACGTTGGTCTCAGGATTCCAAAAGTACAAGTAACCCGTTCGATCATCGACAAGGCCCTTCCAAGGCTTGGGAAGAGTAGGATCCTCAGGTGCGTAACGGACTGCGGAAGGAGCAGTAGCAGCCATAGCAATCAAAAGCTTCTGCAGATACTAATTGAATTAGATACAATTCCCCTAAGCAATCTAAGATTAAGCCCTAATTAATATCCATAACAGATCTCGATACACGTAATAGTTTCAGATTGAATTAAACCAATTGAGAGCAAAGGCGGCGAATCGAAGCAGGATTCACGACGTATACTCTACGGAAGAAGATGTACCTGATTTCGAGTGTTGCGATAGAGGAAACGAATGTGGAATCGATCAAATTCTCTGAACTGGAGAGATTTGAGATACTTTTTTTTTTCCTTTTCTCTCTCTCTATAAATCTACGCCACAAAGAGGAAGGAATAAGCGTAGAGAAGAGAGAGACGGAGGAGAAAAAAAGTAGAGGAGGATGACCATGACGTCCCTTTAGGTTATAAACCAACCATCCACCATCTAAACGAGCCGCCTCCTTCTACTTTGGGCCTTTTTGGGCCCTATGGTCTTTATTTCATGGCCCGTTCTTTTACTTCTTATTTTATTATGATTTTTTTTTGTTGCCGACATATTTATTTTTGTTTCAATAAATAACACACAACATGGTTTCTCAGTTCTAACTAAAGGAAATAAATTTTAAATTCTTGTTAATTAGTGATTTCAGATAGTAAGCATTCCCTCCATTTTATATTATGTGTCATAATAGAAATATCTTAGTTACAAAATAAATATCATTTTTTGTTTTCAATGTCAAATTTATTAATTTTAATATACAATTTATTATTCTATTGGTTGAAATATGATAGGTAATTGTGTTTTTATATATAAAATATGTAAATTAATTGTTTCCTTATTCTATGTGTAAAAAGTTAAGATGACATTTATAATAAAATAGGGAGTTTAGGAAAAACAGATTTTTTCTGGTAAAAGAATTGTGCTGAATGGTGAAAATCACTCATGTAACACACACACACACAATAGAAATTGAAAGAGCTTCTATAATTTCTTATTTACAAGTAAAAGTTCAAGAATTTCAAAACCAGAGAAAGGAAAAGTTTAGGAAGTTTTTGAGTTTGGGGTTGGTTTGACTCTCTTGGCTCTGGTGTACAAGTAAACTCCAGCTAGTGCAGTCGCAGTACCTGTTGTGTTAAGACATTATTGAAGAAACACTATTGCTAAGTGAAGATTCAATGAATGAAAACTTTATGCATCTCTGATATATACTAGTTATTAATTTGTAAAGTTACCAATTGAATTAAGAGGAGAGACTGGAGTTTTGAAGAAAAGAATGGATGATCCAATAACCACCACACGTTTCACACAGTTCCCAACTGAGTGTGTCACTGGTGACACCATCTCTAAGATCATATACGATACCTAAACCGTGATTGTAATTTTGAATCACATTTGATGCTAATTGGAACTGAATTAACGAAACCTAAACCTATTTTTACAATTATTCTGAAAGCGTACGAACCTGTTGGTAGCTATGCAAGCAAACACCAGCAAGGATAGACATGAGGCAAAACTCTTTTGCAGACAAACCCTGACTTGTCTGCCAAGCAAAAGCCATATAAGTTCTTGACCTGTTTATAATTTTTGGAGATCTAAATTTGTTTTCACTTACAGCTAGTTGTAGCTGTGAGGGAGTAAACTTAAAACCATCAATGAGAATTGCTACAGGAACCAATAAGACAAAGGAGATAATGGTTATTATAGAGAAAAGGTTGATGTTGTCCAAAGCTTCCTGTTTCAATAGAACAAATTTTAATAGAATTTTCAATATGCTGGTTTCCGTTAAGAGAATCAAAGGTTGGTTACTTGAGAGCATAAACTACTGAGTTACTCTACCTTTTCAACCATGAACTTTTTACTAAGAACATTACGTGATTGGTTCGTTACATTAGAGGCCATTGCGCTGCAGAAGCCAATCCTGGTTCATTTGCAAAAAGCACAAACCAGTTAAAAGATTGCTTAGATTATTTATCAAGAAGATTGCTTAGATTAGTTGTTGTTGTTGTTGCTGTTGCATACCAATTAAAAGAAGCTTCTGTGAAAGATGCTAAAGAAACTCCAGCGACTATTGGTAACAATGAACAGACGATCCATAAACTTGGCCACTGACAGAAAACAGAAATAAATAAACCACTTTTGAATGTCTGATCAAAGAGTAGAAACCCTTAGGATCAGTGTGTCTATGTTTTGCGTACCTCACCGAGCAAAAGAACAGAGAACAAGACGGTGAAGAAAGGCTCCATTGCTTTGATTGTGTGAGTGAAAGAGACGTTTACTCTTCCCAAGCTCACATTTGTTAACAAGTTTCCTAATGTGTGAGCTGCTGCTAGTTGCAATATAGCCGGAAGCTGTAGATTGTTAAAGAGCAATCAAACGATTGACAAATGAATCTCTCTGTGTTTTGAGGACTTGTCAGAAGAATCATTTACCTGAGAGGGAGTTACTTTTGGACGGGGATGGAGTTTGAGGAGCCACATTATTGCTATCATCAACGTTCCACACCCTAATTGAAATGCTGTTACAGTCGCTGGATATGGATAAACCCTAAGTACCTGGATGAACAAATAAAATTCAGGAGAAACCAGAATCTAATTCAAATTGTGACTCAAGTATCATAACTAAGAAAAGACTATGCTATTGAAAAAATTGGAGAACCTGTTTGTTGAAGATGTTGTAGTAGATATTGAGAAGATACCAAACTCCAAACATGCCTCCTAGCTTCAGCCCTTTAACCAAACTTCCAGATTCCACATCTCCCGGAACTGCAGCTGACTTGAGCTTGAAGCCATTGAATCTACGGTTAGGTCTCAGGAACAGCCAGGGATAAGAGGAAGAAGAAGAAGCTCTTGCTCTTCTGGTGAATGATGATGATTCATGAGTAGACTTGGTAGCTAATAACGGAGACAGAAGTCTCGGATATGGAGTTATTAGAAGCATAACTTGGTACCCCCTTTTCTTCTTGCTGTGTGGATTCTTGTTCTTGATAGACAGATCTATGATTAGATGTTTGAAGATCTACGTAAAACCTCTTGTCATCTGTTAGAATCTAATCAGCACAAGTAAACGACAGTTACTAGCTTTTCTCTCTATATCTTCTTCTTCTTCTATTGGTAAGACTGTTAAACCAATCGAATGCTACTCTGTCGCCTCAATCCTCTCATTATCATGTCTCAAGTTTGCTTCCTTTTTTAAAAATAGTAATTGATTGTTTATTTATGTTAAGACAAAAGTTATTATGCCGACAGTGTTTTCGTGGATAGACTAATCTCTAGCTAAACTTGACGTAGGGTAACAGCTAATAACTTGTTTTGTCGTAAACTATGTTTCGAAGTGTCAGAAGGCGGGAAACGTATGGATGTCATTAAAGATGGTTTAAACATGTGGATGTACGCATGCACCTTAGTCATGTGGTACCTATCAACTTAGAGTCCACCCTGGTCCCATTGCTTCATACCAGCTAATATCTGTCTTTCACTCATATGGATGCTTTTTCCTATTCAAAATAGATCATAGAAGTAAAACGTCTCCCACATTATTATTACAAAAAAAAACTCAAACATTCAGAGAAGCTTACAGAGCAGAACACCATTTTAAACTTAAAACACACAAAACCTATCTACCAAGAAACCAGAACCACAAGAGAGGAGTCTTTTATTCACCACACAATACAGACGCTTCATGTAGTAGTCGCTACTCGGACCTCGCGAGTAGTTTTGGTGTCCCTGTCTCCTGAAGCTGTATGACCCTTTGTATCTCTGTCTCTGACATCATAAGTCTTGCTCTCTCGTACATCATGAGCTTTGTCTTCTATGGTCTGTCCAGCATCTTTTGTCCTCTGCCCCACATACTCGGCCATATCAGCCAAACGCTGCTTGGCTTCCTCCAGCTCCTCAGGCATACGTTCCCTTACTCTTCGGACGTGGTTAAATACCCACGACATAGATGATAGTCCCGTGAGCCCTATTGCCCCTGACGCCATGAATCCTGTCATGGCTAAACCGATCACAAAGGCTGCTGGTACGATAACCGGACTGAAGATGAGGAACAGCGGGAATGCCAGCATTAGTCCTATAACCGAACCGGCTAAAGTTAAACCGGCGAGAGTTAGCAGCGTCCCTCCAATAGGTACACCGGCGACGACTGCTAGAACCTGCATGCACGTGTAAAGCGTATACATATGATATTCATATTTGTTGTATAATATACTATGCTGAGATTCTAAGGATGGTAATGAAAATGGGACCTGAGTTGAAGAAGGCCCATTCTGGCGATGAAGCGTTTTGATGCCTCCTTCGTGCTGGCGTAGAGGGTGAACTTGAACCTGGTGTGTATGTGTGCGAACGTCCGCCATTGATACTTCAAGATAAAGATGTTTTGAAAGAAACTAAAAACCCAAGAATCAGTTGCTTCTACCTTTTAAGGTTTTAAGTAATGGGATTGGGTTTGTTGTAATATAGATGAGCGACATGCTGCGAGAACGTGACACGTAAAGGAGAGACGTGGCAGCTGAGAAACTTGCATGAGTAACAAGTTTCATTTCCTCTTTTGAATTAAACTTTAAAAAAGAGAGGAAGCTTGCGAATCCGATGATACCAATGAAGGAGCTGAGCCGGACAATTAGTAATACTTAAACGGATTCCTCTGCTAATCGGTTCAAAATCAAAAAACCCCAAGTGATACTGAAAATACTATGCAGGAGTGACCAAGAACTGGTTTTACCCAACATAGCACATGAGAATGTGGTCACTGCATCAAAAGCTGCCTCCCTCAGTTTCCAAAAACGCAGAATCTTCCAAGTCCTGTTTTATATGCAAATCCACCTCTTTTAGCAATCCATAAACAGGCTCAATCTCAGGATGCATATCATCATCAGCCACAAATCCATGAACCTTTCTTTTTATCTTAATCAAACTCTCCGCCAATCCTTTTTTGATTCCTCTGTTCCTCACTGCATTTCTCATCTTCTCCACATTCTCCCATTCTCCCTTAACCCCATACATATTCGACATCAACATGTAATAACCAGCATGGTTAGATTCCAGTTCAAACAGCTTCTTTGCAACAGTCTCTGCCATCTCATCATTCTGATGAATCCTACACGCGCCTAAAAGAGCACCCAAGATCTGAGGCGTTGGTGAAAAAGGCATCCGCTTTGTGATTTTAATGGCAGTGTCTAGTTCTCCTACACGACCAAGAAGATCAACCAATACAGCATAGTGTTCTAAGTTAGGAACAAGTCTGTAATGACTCGCCATCAACTCAAATATCCTCAGTCCCTCGTGAATCAAACCTGAGTGACTACAAGCAGACAAGACTGAGAGAAACGTCACTTCATTAGGCTCAACTTCTGAGCTATTGACCATTTTATCAAAAGTCTCCAGCGCTTTAGTGCCCTTCCCATGGATTCCATAACCAGTGATCAAAGAGGTCCAAACCACGGTGTCCTTTAAAGTTATCTCATCAAACACTTTATAAGCACTTCCTAGACTACCACATCTCGAATAAAGCTCAACAAGAGAGGCTCCGATGAAAGGGTTACTGCCAAATCCGAATTTGATCACATAGCTATGAAAGCATTCAGCCTGTTCGAGAAAGCCCAAATCAGAACATGACTTGAGTACCTTCACCATGAGAATAGCATCAGGCCTTGTATTATATTCAACCAGCATCTTGGAAAATTCCTCAACTGATCTGTGAGCCATTCCATTTAATGTAAAGCCGCTTATCAACGCAACCCAAGAGACCACATCTTTCTTCGGAATCCTGGAGAAAACAGCATAAGCTTCCTCTGGGGAGAAACACTTCATATACATATCAACTAACGCAGTGGAGACTTTCACTTCTGTCTCAATGCCTTTCCTAATGGCTAACTCATGCCCCTTCCTACCTTGCTCTAGATCATGAGAAGCTGCACAAGCTTGAAACACACTGAGCATAGTAGCTGCGTTAGGCTCTGTTCCGCTACACATCATTTCATTGAAGACACGTAGTGCTTCAACACCAGCTCCGTTTTGAACGTAGCAAGCAATTACTGTGCTCCAAGAGATAACATCTTTCTCTACCATCAACTTAAACAAATCAACCGCTTCTTTGAAAGCTCTCGACTTGGCATAACAATTCAGTAGCGAATTTACTAAAGACAAATCCTTTTCAAACCCTCTCCTCATCACAAAACCATGCACACACCTCCCAAGCTTTGAGTTAGATAGTTTTGTACAAGCAGAAACTAGAGTGATTAAAGTTACACGATCAGGACTAACATCTGAAGACGTGGTCATTCTCCTGAAACACTCAACGGCCTCAAAGGGAAACCCATTCCTCTCAAACCCTGAAAACATAGAAGACCATGTGACAATATCAGGCTTCTCCAACTCATCAAAAACCCTCAAAGCTTCTGCCATCTTCCCACATTTCGTATACATATCTATCAAAGCAGAGCCAACATAGACGTCAGACGCAAGCGAAGCATCCTTGTTGACGAACCCATGAATGATTTCTCCATACTTAACTTGCCGCAACTCAACGCAAGCCTTGAGAGCAACTGGAATTGTGAAGTTATCAGGCTTTGCTTCACTTCGGAACATTTGGATAAACTGGCACAAGACTTGTTCCCATTGTTTATCTCTGGATAAGCTTTTGAGAAGCGTGTTCCATTGATATAAGCTTCTCTTGGACATTTCGTCGAACAAGTGGCGTGCATAGACGAAAGAACAGAACTTTCAATAAGAAGGCATATAAATTCCTATGAAATTTATATTAATGCTAGATTCCTACTAAAATTTCCATCGATCTTCTCCCTTGCTTGCTTCATTGAGACAAAATGAATTAGCGTTGCGGCAGTAAGTTTGAAGAGGAGAAGAAGAAGCAAAGCGCCAGTCGATATCATGCGCGTTGTTATAACATAATGGGCCTAGGCCCAATTCAGCAGGTCCATTTACTTTTGTTAACATGTCTGTTATTTGTTGCCTTTTGATTGGTTAGCTATTTTATAATTTATTTGTATACTTAGAATACCAACAAGGATAAGCATAATAATAAATACAAGAGAGAATTAGGGAAATGCCCAAAATGGAGACTCTAATTAGGGAATTGCCCATGATGGGACATAATAAAAAAATTTCATACAATTATGTTTTGGATGGACGATAAAGTCCTTCTTCCATTCTCAACTCCTCTGCAATTCATTAACTAATCTGACACTCTCTTTCTTCTCATCTCTTACACTCTCTTTCCATTTCTTATTATATTTTTTTTTCTTCCATATTTTTTCATTCAATTTTTTTTATTCATTAAAAACTAATTGAAACACAAAACAAAATAATTTTTATTCATTTTCCATTTCTTATTATTTTTTTTTTCTTCCATATTTTTTCATTCAATTTTTTTTATTCATTAAAAACTAATTGAAACACAAAACAAAATAATTTTTATTTATTAAAAACTAATTGACACACGAAACAAGGTATTGATTTGTTTAATTACACCACAGATTGAGAAAATCATCATTGCAATATTTGTTAACAGAAGTGTTAGATGTTAACGGATATATGTACCCGAACTGTTAGCTGTTAATAAATATTTTAGATGTTAACAAAGATATTATATGTTAACAAATAGATGTACCAAAGATGGTAACGTAGATGTTAGCTGTTAATAAATAATGTAGATGTTAACAGAGATTTTAGCTGTTAACGAAACATGTTCCCGATGTTAACAGATGTGTTAGTTGTTAATAAATATACGTATCAGAGGTGTTAATAGACTTATAGATTTTCAACTTTCTTTTTTAAAAATCAAAGTAGATTAAAATATAAAAAAATAATAGATTTTCTTTCAACATTCATTTAAATTACAAGGAGAAAAAAAGAAAAAGAGAAGAGAACAAACATAATTGAAGAAAGAAAGAGAGAGAGAGTGAGTTTCTAACGAAAATGAGAAAAAAGCTGACACACCCACATGCAAGAAGGAGAGAGAAAAGGGCAATTTCGTCATAAAAAAAGAATAAGTCCCATCAGGGGCATTTGCCTAATATAGGCTCCCAAAAGGGTGTGGGAGCAAATTATCTCTAAATACAAACAGATTACCCTTTATTAAAGTAGTAGGTATTAAAAAGGAAGGGGAAAGAAGTAAAAAAAAAACACGTGGCAGTATTGTTGAGAAGTGGAATAGCGACTACAAATACGCAGGAAAGATCTCCTCCTTCGTCTTCTTCTTCTTCGTCTTGTTCGAATCAGAGCAGAAGAAAGGTCATCATTTTCCAGCGCGTCGTCTCTCTCTCTCTCTCTCTCGATCTCTCGATCTCGTTCAAGAAGGTTTGATTCTCTTCCATTTTCTTTGATATTTTTATTAATAATATATTCTCGTGGATTTCCCCTTTTTACGGAATTGATTCTGGTTTTTTTGATTATTGATAAATTGTGTGAGTATATTCTTTTATGCTCCTTTTAGAGTGGAATTTATAGGTGAACGGTTTTGGTGTTTGATTCTTATATAAGTTGTTGAAAGATTTGGTGGTTTGTAGTTAAAAGAAGAGAGTGAAGGTAGTTAGAAAAAAAAAAAGGAATAAAAGAAGAGATGCCTTTGAATTTCGGCAACGATGTTGATGGATCTTCCCGGATTCTTTTGACTGAGCCTCGCGGATCTGTTGCTCAGGTTTGCTTCTTCGTTTTTATTGAATGATGTTGAACTTTTATGCTACTTTGATTCGGTTTGAATGATTTCTCCGGTTGATGGAATCTTTTTTTTTCAGGTGCTTCTGTTTGGAGGACAAGTCATCTCTTGGAAAAATGAAAGGAGGGAAGAGCTGCTTTTTATGAGCAGTAAGGTAATGCCCTTTGACCATTTCATCTTTAGTTTCTTTTTTGTTTACTCAATCAATTAACTCAACCCACCATGTGGGCTTTAAGATCTTTGATATGTTCCTTTTTGGTCAATTTTTCCTTTGTACCATTATGTGTCCGCAAGCCTTATTAGTACTTACCACTAAGGAGTTAATCACAGTGTATTTTTATTTGATGCGTCTTGTTTTAGGCTCAGTATTTGCCTCCCAAGACCATCAGAGGAGGAATACCTGTTTGCTTTCCACAGGTTTGGCATCTCGCTATCACTGTTAATATATATATCTTTTTGTACCTTCATCAAGACTATTGTTGCCTTCTTTGCAGTTTGGAAACTTTGGTGGACTTGAGCGACATGGATTTGCCCGCAACAGGTTTTGGTCTCTTGATGACGACCCTTCTCCTCTGCCTCCTCCTGCTAACAAACAATCATCAGTTGATCTGATTTTGAAGTCCACCGAAGATGACCTCAAGATCTGGCCTCACAGGTATGTGGGAGATACACATCTATAATTTTCACCCACATCTTTTTTCTAAGTTGCTAATTTTCTTTTACTGTTTGTGCAGCTTTGAACTCCGTGTTCGCATCTCTATCAGCCTTGGGAAACTTACTGTGATCCCTCGTGTGAGGAACATTGACGCAAAGCCATTCTCTTTCATGTTTGCTCTTCGAAACTACTTACATGTGTCTGACATAAGGTGTGCCTGCCTCTACTTAGAAATTGTTTCCTTCCTTTCTTTGAGTAGCAGTACTAGTAACACTTACTCTGTGTGGGTATTGAATTCTCAGTGAAGTACGAGTTGAGGGTCTGGAGACACTTGATTATCTATACAACTTGAAGGGTAAAGAGAGATTCACCGAGCAAGCAGATGCAATTACCTTTGACGGTGAGGTAAGTATCATCCCTTACGCTTTTTTACACTCCCACAAGATTTGTGATAACAGAGAGTCAGTGGGGTTGCAGATTGATAGAGTGTACTTGAACACACCAACAAAGATTGCTGTCATAGACCATGAGCGGAAGAGAACCATCGAACTGCGAAAGGAAGGCATGCCCAATGCAGGTATATGCGCATTGTAATAGAGTAAACAATGTTCTCTGTCTTCTTTGAACCTTTGATTTGAGTTTTGGTTTTTTAATGGAAAAACGAGCAGTTGTGTGGAACCCTTGGGACAAAAAGGCAAAGAGCATAGCTGATCTGGGAGATGAAGATTACATGACGATGCTGTGTGTAGATTCTGGAGCTATCGAACCTCAGGTTCTGTTGAAGCCTGGTGAAGAGTGGAAAGGAAGACAAGAACTCTCTATCGTCTCGTCGAGCTACTGCAGCGGACAGCTTGATCCACGCAAGATTCTTTACGGAGATCACTGATCCGATCCCTTTTTTTTTTTGCTTTGTTTGTTTGCTTACCGAGTTAAAACAATAATAAGCACATGATCTCGTCGTCAGCTTCTTCTCATGTTTCAAAAGACAATGTTTTGAACTTGTTAGGAAGAAAGAGAGGTCATATATTGTAACGTTGACTCTAGTGAAACTAAAATGGACCGTCGGGAGTTGAGTTACTTTTGAATCGTGAAACCTTTCTTTATATGGCACATTCGTCAAATATTATCATCTCATCTGTCTACAACTTTTATGGCAACATTCATCAAGTCATTGTCCATTATCCATTTCTGTCACATATATTTTTTCTTTGCAGTGTTATTTATATATGATGGTTATGTTTTTTTTTTAAATAATGATTGTTACTTGTACCACAGTTTTTGTTTTTTTTTTGTAACAAAATTGATAGTACTGTAACCCGGTAATTATAATGTGAACTCCCCATCCTCAACTTTTTGTTTAGTTTGTTTTATCTCTTCTTTTTAAACCATAAATGAACACGAAATTACGGGAATATATCTGTCTTTGGCTTGGTGACCAAGGTAGTGTGTTCCTACTAAAATAATTTAATATTAAAAATAGGGAAATATTGGCATTTAGCTCGATTACCGAAGCTCCCAAAGTGCTTCGGTGCTAGCACAGTAACAACAAAAACCCGAGGCTCGTAACCCGAACCAAACACTAAGTCAAGGTCAGTCAAGACGAAGCTGGAGGTTAGTAAAAATTGTGTTGATATGAGAAGCTTTCCTTGAAAGCTTAGGTTCGAGGGACTTGGAAAAACTACACACACTCTCCCGCTCTCCGCAGGGTAGACTTGGTCTTTGCTCTTGGTTTTCACGCGCGCGTTCACTCTCTACAGTCTTTTTTCCATTTTACTTAGCCTAGTGGATATCCTCTCAAAGTTTTCTTCTATATATATTTCTCTCTCCCTCTCTCGTGTTTTTTCGTTCTTTGTTTTTTGGGAGTCATGGCGAGGTAAGCTTCTCTTTTTTTTTTCTTTAGCTTCTCTTTTATGCTTGTTAATGTTAAGCCCTAAATTTCCCCTAAGCCATGAACTGATTTCGATTTGAGATTGAGATTTTATATTTAAGTTCTTCTAATCTGGGCAATGTATGTATCCGTCATCTATAGCTTTCAGTTTTCAAGTATATGTGAGATAGATTCTTGTTTTGCTCTGCTTCTCGGATAACAAACAGTAATTTCTTGAAAATGAAAACCTAGTTGCTGTTTTTGGGAGAATGGTTTCTCTTGTTTGAGCACTTCAGCTGTTTTTGTCTTCTTCTTTTCGCTGTCTTGTAACAAAAGTTCGCAACTTTATTATACAGTGGTTGGATTGTAGATGGCCCAGGAATCGCATCCAAAGTGAAGAGTGCGTCTCTCTCTTCATCTTTGCAGACCAATGACTGTGGTGCTTGTATCCAATGCCCTAACTGCTTTTACCGCATTGACAACAGCAATGTGAGTGATTTAGGGACTCTTTACCTCTCCTGCCTTCTCTCGATGACTAATCTCTTGTGTTGTTTCTCTGTTTCAGGTGCTTGTGCCATGGCCTGGCCTTCCTAAAGGTGTCAAGTTCGAGCCAACTGATGAGGACATCATCGAGTTTTTAGAAGCTAAATGTGGTATTGGTGGTTCAGAGCCTCACGTTCTTATCGATGAGTTTATTAGGCCAGTCACTGAAGATGTTGGAATCAATTACACTCACCCTAAAAACCTCCCTGGTTTGTTTTTTCCTCAACTTGACTTAAATCTCTCTGTGATTTACGTTTTATTGACTTCCTTTAGATCTGTTTAGGTGCAAACAAAGATGGAGTAGGTGCCTTCTTCTATCACAAGACGGTGCAAGCATACGGAACAGGACAAAGGAAACGTAGAAAGATCACACCCACATGCCTTAACGAGGAGCCGGTTCGCTGGCACAAAACAGGCAAAACCAAGAATGTGTTCCTCAAGGGAGTGAAAAGGGGTTGCAAGAAGATAATGGTGCTGTACAAGAGCGCTAGAAAGGGTTTAAAGCCTGTGAAATCAAACTGGGTTTTGCACCAGTACCATTTGGGTACTGAAGGAGAGGAGATAGGGGAGTATGTTGTTTCAAAAGTCACATATCAGCAGGAGAAGGTTAAGGATGAAAGTGAGAGTTCAGGTGTGGTTAGAGGTGGTGGTGGTGGCCCAACAACACCCATGACAAATACTCCTACACCACCTGTTGTTGCTGGAAATGGAGAAGAAGCTTTTGATGATGTCAAGACGTTTGATCCATTTGCTGAGGTCAGTAAATCATTGGTACTATGTTTTTTCTCATTAGAGACTAAAGTTTGTGTTATTTATTTTTCTTCTTGTTGTCAAAAACAGGGACTGAACAGCATTCCTGAAGCAGCTTTAGAGAAGATGTGGTCCAAGAAAGCTAGAATGGAAGAAGATGTGGCTGTGAACTTGAGTGAAGAAAACTTGACATGCAATGAAAGCATTGAAGCTTCGTCTCTTTGGGAGAACCAGCTTCACCCAAACCCTAGCTTTGGGGAATTAGATGGTTTTGCGCTTTCAGACCTAGATAATGTAGATTTGGGGACTTCACCTGATTTCCTCACTGTAAGATCCATTAATATTGTTCAGTTTTTATAGAAGGGATTATTGAAGTTTGATGCTGATTTTAGAATTTTCATGTGTGGGGGTTTTGCAGTTGGCTTCTCAGGATAGCTTGTTGAATTGGATGGGATGGCTATGACTGAGTTCTTTGCATCTATATGCAAAGAACGTTTTGTCAGATAAACGTGGAGAAGGATGCAAAAGCATGAATATGTGTATAAAGTCTGCCAAGCTCAAGTCATATCTTTGTGACCAGTTTTACTTGAGCAAATTCCCAGGCGATCAGTTTTCTCTCGGCTTCCCGGAAAGTTACTTTGAATTTTCCTGGAATAAATAATTTCAATCTATGAGTGTGTGTTTCGCTTGATTGTAATTCAAATAAGACAATGTTCATCTTTGTGGTACTACTTTGCTTTGTCTGTATGTTGTGGTTACTCTGTCTTGCTTTGGCTCTGAGTTTAAAACAACTGTTATAAAATATCAGCTGATTACCATCTTCTGTTTGTCTTAATTTTTCATTCTAGTTTTCCATGTTTTTGCTTTTGTTCTGGTTTACATTATAGCCAGGTTCTGTTTTCAAGCTCCATGTTTCCTAAATTCTTCTATATATTACCTTTATTAGGAGGATTTCAAATTTATGATAGACCTATTATATGTAAACGTAGTTGTTTATCATAAATGGGACTGGAAAAGCTTGATACATGCAGATTTCTCGTTCTGGATATAAAGAAACGAATCCTTGCATTGAAGCATAATGGGTGGTAGCTACTAGCTCTATTATCTCACAAGGAAGAGCTGGAAAATTAGACTCGGGAGATATCCCGTAATCACAACCTTTCTGCAAAAGATAGTAAAGATTAGACCATTTGTAGTTAGACACA